TTATTATTTTTTTCATTTCGTATTAATAATTTTAATTTCGAATAAAGTCGCTGTGAAATAAGCGAGCGTATTTTAAATATAAAAATTAGCAGAATTCAGAATATATATATATATATATATATATATATATATATATATTTCTCATTTTCTTTTTGACTATTTCTAGATTATTATACTAGCTATGTGTATTTATATTATTTGTAGTTCGTATAAAAACTTTAATTTTGAAATATTAGATAAACTCAAATCCAAGTAATTTGATTTACTTTTTGAATTCAAAAACGTAGAGATAAAAACGATAAAAATATTCAAAGTGATATATACATGGACTACAAATAACATACGCATAACTCTTTTAATAATCTAACAAATTTTAATAATTTGACAAATAATCGGAAAGAAGATGAGAAACGAAAAAATTATCGAAGAGAAAATTCTCGTATAGCCGCTGCAGTTTATGTGTAACAGCAATTGCCGCGTGGTACGTGACACTGACAGCGCCATTTCCGCGGTTAGCAATCGCTGCGGTCGTCGGCATCCCAGTCATTATGAACGTTAAATATGTCGGTTCAATAAAGTCAGTTGCAATGGAATGTCGAATGTCACTCTAGTTATTAGACAGACTTCATAGCTGCATCCTGTGAAAGTCATTGCAGACAGAAAAATTATATTTTGTGAGATTAAAAGAAAATATCAGCGTTGAAATTATATGTTCTCTCTTTATATAAATTCTCAATTATATATATATATATATATATATATATATATATATATATATTTTTTTTTTTTTTTAATGTAGAAGAGAATCTTCAAAAGTCATCATTAAAAATGTTGAAAAGAGATATTTTATATTTTTACACAAGAAGCAAAGAAAATTATATTTTTTGAGATTAAAGGAAAATATATTTTAAAATATTAAATGTTCTTTCTTCATAAATTTTGAATTATATGTACGTATTTATTTTTAACGTAGAAGAGAATCTTTAAAAAACATCATTCAAAATGTTGAAGAAAGACATTTTACACAAGAAATAAAAAATTATACCAATTTTATTTATTTGTATGATGGACATGAAAGAACCACGAAATGCGAGGAAAATTAATTACTTAATGGAACTTGGCTATTAGAGAAAGTTTATGAGTAAAACCAAGGAAAACTCTTCCCCAGAGTAATTGTTCGTGGAAAAGAAAGTTACATCACGTTAATAAAAAATTTTACTCAAGATTAATACACAAAATTTGAGCGAACTTTTAGAGTATCGTTGGGAAAATAATAGGAAACGTTCAAGAGTGATTTTTACGAATAATTGCATCCATTAGTAATCGAGTGAGACATACATACGCTACTCGCAATTTCGAATTACATTCTTCTTACAGGATTCAATTCGACCCGAAAAGGTCACCGAAAAAATTGTATTCTTCATTTAAGAAGAATTCCCTCTAAAGCTTTTCTTTAATCAAATATTCTAAAAAATTTCAGAATATTCCTCTTTAAAAAAAGTCTCTTATTAGATTAAATTAGGTCTTGTTAAAAATAATGTGAAATAAAGAATATATTCTAAAGTACATTAGAGGGAAATTACTACTAAAGGGAAATCTTCTTTAGAATACATATTTGGTGCTTTTTTAATGGGAGATATTATGCAGTTTAGTGGACTATTCTATAATGTAGAATATAAAATTTTTCAGAACGGTGGACTTGCGATGCTGCTCACATCCGACATTTATACAAGCTTTATTTTTGGCTTGGAATATCAAAGTGATATCCTCGACGAAGCTATAAGTCACATCAAAATCCATTCAAAATTACAGTAGTCACGATTGATAGGACATTCGCGATATCGAAAGAAACGTTTATTGAAAGGGATATATAACATTGTCTCGCGACGACAACAGCAAACAGTCGTTGGAGTTGGAAATCGAGAAAAGTCGGGGAAATTGAAAACAAGACGAAAGGAAACTGCAACAGACTTCCATCTCGATAGGCAGAAATACGATAGAGAGATGTTTGACTGTCGATATAATTATTAATGTTTGAATATTATTGAGTTCTTGGGAATCTCGAGTATAAAATATTATGAAAAATCATCGAACATAAATATACAATAGTTATAAATTAAGTGTTAAAGTATTACGATTTTTATTTATAAAAGAATATGCCAAGAGAAGAATAATAACTAAAGATCATAAAAATTAAAAAAATATATAAATATTAAATATATAAATAAATAAATAAATAAGAAGAATAATATATTTATAAAACAAAATATACAATAATTATAAGAATATACGAAGATAAAAGAGAAGAGTAGAGTAGGATCAAATAAAAAATCCCACAAGAAACAATACTTAATATTTTATATTCTAATTTTTACAAGAAACGCGATATTACAAAGTGCATGCATATTAATATATGTTAACTAGTTCTACATTGCCAAGATCAGAAAATAGGAACTTGTTAGCTTTGAAAAGTAAGAAAAATTTCACGTATGCCTTTATCTTAATTTTTTCATTCTTTATCGAATTTTAAAATTAAGATAAAAAATTTATATTATTGATTTATTACTTTTTTTAGGTCGTAATAATTATGGATGTATATTTCTGGGACATTAAATTTTACCTATATCTCTAGAGTGTTAAATTTTTCGGCAAATTTTTGTTCCATGTTCTAAAGACGAGGGGAAAAAAGATGTTCGGGGTTATCAATGGGGCTCAAATCCCACACGGCACGGCACCATCGGCGCGCTCTAATTTTCTATTTCCGGCTTGTACTTCTCTCGGCGCGACCGCGGCTTAATTAGAGGCACGAAAAGTGGAAAGCAGTCGGAGGAACGGCGGGGGAGGAAGTCGAAGGGGTCTCGCGCGCGCGCCTCTCTTCCCAGAGATAAAAGATACTAACTTCCGAGCTTTATCGCGGCATGCCGGGCCCCTGGACTTAGTCTCGAGAATAAATACGCCTGGCTTCGTTATCGATCCTCGTGGCGACGCGCCGTGTGATAAGCGCGAAAGACGAACTTTGTTTTCTGAATTCCTTCACTTGTACAACGGATACCCTGTATTACATGGTCGGGAGGAACTGGTCTCTTTTTGTGTCTGTTTAAATTTATTATAAATATTACGTGTGTTATATCATTAAATCAAATACATAATTTATAGATTGTGATAATACACGATTGATATGTATCTTATAGATAATACATGTTTATATATGTCATAATATATAAATATATGATTTATAAATTGATCGTCATTGGACGATTAATTGGTTGCAATTAAAATTACGTAAAATATGAGTAGATCATTATGTAGATTTTTTTAAATTTTATATAAGTTATATAATAATTATATATTATGGAATTAAAATATTTAAAGAAATTTATCATTGTTCGTTCTCACACATATGCATTTTTACTTTGGTTGTGATACAATTTATTTTATTTTATTTTGTAATTTATTGTACCATCTATAAAAAAAAATATGGAAAACAAATATGAAAAAGTAAATTTTCAAAATTACACTTTGAAAATGATATTACATTTACAGTTGTCTTTTTAAAAATATTTCATAAAAATATCTTTAAATTTAAACAAATAAACGAATAAATTTATACACACTTTGTTTATATTCATTGTTATTTATTTATTTAGAATTATTAACGTAATTCTTGAATCTATAGATATTTTATATAAATATGTATGTTTTTCATATATATATATATATATATATATATATATATATATATATATATAAATTAATATCTGATTTATCGTAATGAGCAAGATATATATTATATATATAGCTTGTTTGCTCTTTTTGCGGACAATAGTCGATTATTCAATAAGAAGCGAGAACATATCGCTAACGTAAATTTAATTTAGGAATGATAACGCAAGTTCAAAGATCTCTTTTCTTCTCTCGTAAATGCATCTGTCTTAAAGTTGATCGGGAACAATGATAAATAATATATCACAATTAATTGATTTTGCCCATCAATTTGATTGACAACTCGAGTAAATCGATAATGGAAGTAACATGGAATATCATTATCATTCATCGAGTTATAAACGGCATCGCGTGTAAAATCTACGTGAATAAAATCAATCGGGCGACGAATATAACTATTTTCGAGGAGCACTCGTACGCGTTCGATTTTCGTTTTATAAAATGAGAATGAATCGAGGACGGTCGAGTAAAAGGTACTAAGAGCGTGCATGTGCGCCTATATTGTCTCACATGAGTGAACTGCGAATATACCAGATTTAGTCGCATAGATCTTTATTTAATTCGGGAGAATTCAAAGGCTAAAGATCAAACGATCAAAGCGTTTAGAAACCTGAATGCCTAAAGAAGTAAGGATAAAAAGAAAGACACGCGATGAACGGGCTTAAAATTTCAAATATATGCAGGTATTAAAAAAATCTTAAAATATTTAAGACCTAAAAGATTTGAAGATTTTATTAAAGATATTTTAATTATAATTTTGCACTTATTGCATGTATTGTAGAAATTTATTTTACTAGTATCGAATGAATTTTAAATTTAAAACCTTCTAGATCTCTTAGAGAAATATTAGACTTTATAAAAAATATATAATGTTATTTACAATTTTATTGATTAAAATAAATTTTATATTAATTAGAATATAACGAAATTTAATTTTACTAGAATTCAATAAATTTGAAACTTAAATTTCAAATGCAAAAATATAATTAGAATGCAAATTATATCAAATATATGAAATCTCTGTTAATTAAAGTCTGTATGTTTGAAAATTTTATTAAGATAAGGAGACGAATAATGCTCTCTCGAGGGAAAAGACCGAGCGCGCGATTCAAAGAGAGAATACGTTAGCAAACGGGATACTCTCGGATACATATCCATGTGTGATCTCAAAGGACCTGGAATTGGAGCGTTCGGCCAATCGGATCGCTTCGAACACTACTCGTCCGGTATTCTAGTGTACTCGATGTATCTCGAATTATCCGCTGATACAAACTCACCTTTTCTACGACTCGCTGCTCCACGAGCGACGTCTCCCGTCACATTCCACGAATCGGCCGTGACACCCGTTACAGCCGCAGGAAATAGGATCCGCCTCGTGACCGCCGTCGTTGTTGTTGTTGAATAGCCTGCCGGTATCATCCACGCCTTTGTCCGAACCGAATATATCACACAGGCCGAGGACGCGAGCGAACAAACGCGAGGAGGAGGAGGAGGAAAGAATGAAAGCGAAAATTCCTCGAATCCTTGAAATCCTTTCGAACCCGGCGCCGCGGCGCTCCGTTCGCGAGGTCCTGTCAAACCACGCGCCTCCTTAGGATCCCGATGCGCACATGGAAGCGTGCCGGCTCCGTTCGAGTCCTTTTGGAGCCGTAATGGAGAATAATAAATTCGGAGTAATACAAACGTCAAACGTAAATGCTGCCGATATTCATCCACGAAGAGAATCGTCAGGATCTCACTCTCGTAACTGGGGGGTGGGGGAGGAGGGAGCGTAAAATACAGCGCGATTAACCACCCGTTTCACCGGTCGGATCTTCCTTCAGGACGCCGAACATGTCTCGCTGCGGTTGGTCTTTTTTCTCCTCTTGTTCAGCGTCTTCTCGACCGGAACATCCCGCGGTTTAAATTTTCTTAAATTCTCTTCTCGTCTTGGTTCTGCCAAAAATTTCTCTCAAACACTGACCCGTTTCTTATTCTCCACAGGATTTCGGAGTATAATAGACCCTCGTTCAAGGATGATGGACCTTTGGAGCCGAATAGCACGCCTTCGTGCTGCGAAGGGCAACGCGGGATCCGGCGTAAATCCCGCCTTCAGATGCGAGATGAAAAACGTGAGGAAGTGCCACGAGGACTGGATACACTCGTCGTCTCCTCTTGGTCTCCTCTGCTGGTCCTGCACGTCACGACGAGGAACGCGGTCAGCACACCTTTCTCTCTCTCTCTCTCTCCTTTCTCTCCGGAAGTCACGACCTCTCTATGCCAGCAAACGAGAGAAAGAGAGAGAGAGAGGTGTCTCGATAAGGAGGACGGACGTACTCCGAAACGACGTAGCGAAGAACGATGCTGCAGCGGCGAGGACGGGCGTCGTTCACGCCCCCGTACGTTCGTTCGTCCGTCCTGTCTTTCTTCTAGGACGCGACACGGAACGCCGTGATCGGCGGCGATCTTCCCCGATACCACTACTCACGGAATAATAATAATAATGATGACAATGAGGATCACTCACGCTTTACCAGGACGCGGAGACGTGGCTCCGTCGTCGTGGCCAAGGCTTGGACAGTGCTCTAGAGACACAATGTATGATAAAGAGAGAGACAGAGAGAAATAGAGAAAGAGAGAGAGATAGAGGCGGTGGTACGGTGGGAGAGGGGGAAGAAGAGAGCAGAGAGATACGACGAACGCTTTCGAAGGAGGATTCCTCGCGAAATGAAATGCACATGTGAACACGCGTCACACCGGCTTCCTCGTGCACACGCTGTCTTTTTTTCTCCTCACGGACGACACATTTCCGAAAGAGCGAGTGGCGGCGGCGGTCGCGGCTCTCTCGCCTCCTTCCTCTCGCCAACGCCTACACGATACACATTGCACGCAGTAGCAACGACGCCCCTACACGCCGAACGTCAGTGGTGCTCAATGCGACGATGTCCGAGACGCTGAGAGCCCCGTTTCCAGCGACGCCGGGATCGAGTTTTATCGACGTAATTTTTCCATCTCGATGCGAGAAAGCGGTCGAAAATGTTTCGCAACTCGTCGCGATGTACGTCAAACGGTTTGGCTCTTATGACGTCTCTTCTAAAAAGGTAAGAAAATTATAATTGCTAAATGATACCTAGAAATATTTCGAGGGTCGTACTCGCGAAGTTGGTTATTGAAATCTCTAGGTGCTTGGTAAACTTTGGCGCTGATGCTGCGTCGGTTTAGGGATATATGGCGATTTCTAGTCGAAATATCACTGTATTAATACTAAAGATTCTGATATACCCTCTATAATAATTCCTAGTTTTATATATATATATATATATATATATATATATATATATATATATAATTTATATTATTGTAATAATTAATTATAAATATTATTGTCTTCAGGATGTTCTAAAATTCATTTTATAATCATTCTTGATTCAAATCGGTATGCTGAAATTATAAAAGGCAAATTGCAATTTTTTTAAAAATATATAAAAGCTCTCTACTTACAGAATACATAAATATAAATATAAATGTTTACATATATAGGAACATATTTTTATAACTTTTTTATGATGATTTCCACGCTATTAAGATGGTAGAAAATATACTTAAAAGCTGCAGATATTCGTCACTTCCTTCTGTTAATTTATAATCGCATTCCTAAAAAAAGAGAAAATTTTTCATATTTGTATTCAATTTATATCATTAATTTTTTATGTATATGTAGAGAAAATCTCTTACCCCGAGCATATCGCCAATTATCACTTTCTGTTTGTCACTCAGTTCATCAGAGAAAATTACTTTCTCATTTAATTGTTCGATTACCTAACATACATAACATACACAAAAGATAGTATAATTAAACCAATTCAATCAAACTGTTATGGATATCAACATGTATATGACAGGAATTATTATTTTACAGTTTATTATTTTAAAATTTATTTTAAAATTTTTCAAAAATTCAACAGCAATAATTAAAGCAATACCTGTGAGCCTGGATATCCTTCCAACAGCAAATTTTCAAGTAATGTCTCGACATTACTATAGTTTCCTTTTTTACAGGCCTCCCACAGCGCATTAATTTTTTCATCAGGAATTAGCTAAAGAAACACACACAAAAATGTATTACAATTCCAAATAATTCGAAATTATTTATAAATTATTCAACTTACTAATAATGACAAATTATAATTTTAAAAACATACTTACTCCAATCACATCAAGAGCATCATCCACGGTGATCTCATAATTCTTGCCCTTTAATCGTGTGATTGATTGCAGACACATGACGGCCTGTCTCAAATCGCCACCGGACGCTTCAACGATTTTCTCTAGAACGCTTCTATCAGCCTTTAGATTCTCCTCATTGCATATATATTCGAGTCTGCTGATACTCTTCTCATCGCTCAGTGGCTTGAATCGGAACTTGGTGCAGCGCGACGCTATCGGCTTGATAATTCGCGATAGGTAATTGCATACTAGGCAAAAGCGCGTGCTATGTGCCTCTTTTTCCATAATTCGACGAAGTGCTGTTTGCGCGGCGCCAGTCATACTGTCCGCTTCGTCCAATATGATGATCTTGAATGGTGGACATTTCTTCCCACTGGAAAAGTGAGTATTGAAAAATTTAAAATATAATGTTGAAACCATTAATTTCATTTTGTCTTATTTATTTAATAAATTTTAAAGCAATATTATAATGTGTCTCAGGTTGTGCCATTTTGATCATAAATCACAGTACAGCACATGAGATCTAGAAGGGATGCTTAATCCTCAAGTACACGCGTCAAAGTCAATGTAAATAAATTTTTCTTTTAATGTCTTTTATATGCAAGAATGTCAATAATTAGTTTAAAAAAATAAAATTATGGAAAATGAAAGTTTTTGATTATACTTAATATTTATTAAAATTTAACATCAAGAAAGAATAAAATCAATAGTATTAATGTATCTACATGGCTTTTAAGCGAGTACTTGAAGATTAACTGTTTGCTTGTGCTTTTCAGAAGTTTACTAATCTTGTAGTTCTTCTGCATTATCAAGCATTTTTTTTATCTAGTTGCTAATAAGAGATGCTAAGATTCTTTATTAGATCTCCTTGATGACAACAAAATGTGCCCTTTCATAAATAATCTTGTGTGCTGAGATTCTGCGATCATCAGACCTTTTACTGGATCATCATTGACACTGATTATATATAAATAAGATATAACATTTTAATAAAGAAATGGATGATTTTTTTTATTTCTATAAAAAACATTAAAACTCTTTATTATTAATGAAAATTTTAATTGCCAAAATTATGATCATTAATAGTGATATTATTAGGAATACTTATAATTGATAAAAAATCTTACACTTACTCTGGTCCAATAGGATTAGCCTTGCGTAATGCAAAGGATTTGATCTTCTCTCTCACAACCTGGATACCTCGATCATCAGAGGCATTCAGTTCCAGTATCCTATCCTTATACATACTACCAAACATCTGCCTTGCAGCTGCATGGATAATGCTGGTTTTGCCAGTACCCGGTGGCCCATAAAACAACATATTAGGAAAATCTCCATGTTTCATGGCTTGCCTTATCACATTCACCACCTCTGTCTGCTCTACAATGTCATCGACATTTTTTGGTCGGCTGTAAACAAAAAATGTGACCAAAAACTGTAAGCAAAAAACCTTATACAATCTTAATCTTATTTGTAGAAGTCGAAAAGAAAAATAATATGACAGTAAAATCATGACTTTTGTTACGAAAGTGAAGAGTTGAATCGTAACAAGGAACAGCTTTAAAAAAGGCATTTTCAAATAAAGTTGTTTGTCTTGAACAAAGATCGTGTGAAAAAGGTTAATCTTAGAATAATAATGGATACTCACTATTTTTCCACCCATGGTGTCAAGTCTTTTTTGTCATCCTTGGCGCGAGAAGTCGATGGTTTCTTCACATCTGTTGGGGCGCCCAATTTACCAGTCTTCAAGAAAGCGTGCATTTTTCTTGATTTACGCAACTACGCACACCTTGGGCTCTTCATAGGTTTTCCCGCCTATTCGTCACCATTTGCATTTCAAACCTTGCAGGTGCGTTCAAAAATTTATTTCTGAATGGAAATCTATTTCAGAATGGAATAATGAATGAATGAAATTTGATTGATCGAAAGGAGTAAAGGTTTCCAAATGCAACCAATGATAGTTATTCACACTGTGCTCGATGCCCAGCATCCAATAGGAAACTTTCAGAATGGAATAATGAATGAATGAAATTTGATTGATCGAAAGGAGCAAAGGTTTCCAAATGCAACCAATGATAGTTATTCACACTGTGCTCGATGCCCAGCATCCAATAGGAAACTTTCGTTTCTAGTTTGCAAGTTAAAGTCACTAGGCGACAAACTTCTATCGCGCGCAGTGTGAATCGTGCATGATTAGCATGATGTGAAGTGACGTGCAGTTGATGGATACATACGCAGAATCGTAGGATCACGTAGGATATCTGTGTAATTTTTTGGTGGCGATATATATTTGACAGAAAAGTCATGACTTCGCTTCTCGCGCCAGAAATTCCATCGCCGGGCTTTTCCTTTGATCTCTGTCAAAGGTAAATATTTTATTTTGTATCATAAATTAAATTGGACTTATTTCTTATAGTTTTCATGAGTTAACCTATATATGGATATTGCTGTGTCACACATAGCTCTATCAAAATTTATTCATAATACAAAAATTTTTATATAATATTAAAATATACTTGTAAACGATTTTAATCATATAAAAGAGAAAGAATAAAATTTCGATTATGGAATTTTAAAGAACATGTCAAATTAATATCTTGGTATTAATATCTTGGTATTATTGCTATGTCATAGTATTATTATTATTTGATTACAGTAATAATGTTAATCTTTATAGTTCTTAATTAATTGTTGATTAATTGTTGATACTTGTTACATAAAGTAATAATTTTGTATATAAAATATTTTTCTATGTTAAAATATTTTAAAGAGCGATGCATATTAAAGCTAGAACTTTGTCATTTTAATATCCACTTTAAAAAATATCTATTTTTATTTTTAAGTAACAAGAATGGTATAATTAATTCATATATCTTTTAATATTGTGACAATTCTTTTTAATATTTATTTACTTTGCACAGAAACAGTGCCTTGATTAAAAAAGGCTTTGCTGCTCCGAAAGCAGTCAAGACAGGTACTACTATTGCTGGTGTAGTATATAAGGATGGTGTTATTCTTGGTGGTGATACGCGAGCTACGGAGGATACGATTGTTGCAGATAAATATAGTTTGAAAATTCACTATCTTGCTCCCAATATGTAGTAAGTGTCACAGGATTCTCTCTGTCAATCTCTAATGTTATGCATGATATATTTAAACTATTCGAATTTTTATTAATTATTCAAATTTTTTTCAGTTGTTGCGGAGCTGGCACAGCGGCTGACACTGAAATGACTACTGAGATGATAGCCAGCCAATTGGAGTTGCATCGCTTGAATACTGGTCGTATTGTGCCGGTGTGTACTGCAAACACACTGATTAAGCAAATGCTGTTTCGTTATCAAGGTCATATTGGTGCTGCACTCATTTTGGGTGGTTTTGATCTTGATGGACCGCAATTGTATTGCATTTATCCACATGGTTCTACCGAGAAGCTGAAATATACTACTATGGGATCTGGATCATTGGCAGCAATGGCGGTCTTTGAAAGCAGATGGAGACCCGATTTACCGGTAACAAGTACTTCTAATCATATGTAATCGAATAACTTAATTAAATCTAGTGTATAAAATCATTGCCATCTTAAAATTTTAAATTAGGAGGAGACTGAATTAATAAATTTAAAGTCTAAGATATTTTTAATATGATTTTTATATTATATATATAAGTGATAATTTTATCATTATTATTTATTATTCTTTATTTATTAAATCTATTCTGTTAAATATTTATACAACTTTTTATGAATTTTTTTTATGTATGTATATATTCTCCTTTCTATATTAGAGTGTATTAAATTTATTCTTTGTTAAAAATACTATTTATGTCGAATTAAAAGGTGACTCATTATTTTTAGGAGGAAGAGGCGAAGCAATTGGTGGCAGATGCAATTCGCGCAGGCGTGTTCAACGATCTAGCGTCAGGATCCAATGTGGATCTTTGCGTCATTCGTAAGACCGGTGTTGATTATCTGCGACCATATGATACCGCCTGTGTGAAAGGCGAGCGGCAAATTAGTTATCGTTACAAGCCCGGCACCACCGCAGTGCTTACCAAGACAGTGCAGCCGATTATCGTAGAGGAGGAGACTGTGCGTACAATTCAACACGAAGCAATGGACACGTCTGCATAAGATTCTTAATTAATTCAGCTCTATATAAACTTAAATTATAATAAACTTTTTCCAAACAGTAAGTGTTGATTATAAAATCTAATCTTTAAATATTTCTAATAAAAATATTGTGGGATGTGCACAAAGCATACAATTTCTAAATGCTGGCTCTCTCTCGAAAAAAAAACCTACTTAAATTTTTTCTTAAGTTGCTTCATGTATATCCTGCGATACCAGCAAGAATAATAAAATATATGTCTTCTATACAAAGTTAATATTGAGAAGTAAAGTAATATAAAATAATTCGTTAAAATTGCCTGCAAGTTTATCTTTTGTCGAAAACAAAAGATATAAATTTAAGATATATCCTGTACATGAGGAAGCGATTTATAAAAGTTAGAAGAGTCCAGCGGCCTGCTTGAGCCGCTGCCTTTTCCAAGCGGGCAATTTCTCGAATTCTGCAGGTTCCATCTTGAAAATTGCGATGAAATTATCATAAGTCAGATGCATCTCTTTGCGTCTGACATCAACGCCAGCTGGCAGATTCTCTGGCTCGCTCTTTAGCACTGCCGGCGGATATTTGATATAATTATCGAAATCTGTGGTGGCTTTGGTGGAGGACATTTGCGTTCTCGTCGATTGATCTTTGTCCTCTAGCAAGGCACAGAAAACTTCGAACGGCTTATAATCTCTTAATAGATTATGATTCCAGTTCTCGAACAGCCCAATAAAGGTGGCTGGTTCTAATCCTGTGCGACAAAAATAAAAATAAAATCGAATCTAACGAAGATTTTAAGAAAGAATGGTTAAACAAAATATTTCTAAAGAGAAAAAAAGCAATATATGTTTTTTATCTTTTATCATTCGAGCTCACCTTGCTTGATTACAGAAATTATCGTATTGCGATTTCGGCCTGCGGGATGTGTATAAAGATATATAGCAGCGTCTTCGACACATTCTTGCAATGTCTTTGGAACAGAAAATTTGCCTATCCATACCCAGATTACACTACCAGCGTCTAGCAACCAGATAGCTTCTGGTATCAAAGAGTTCTGTCGGAATCCGAGAACTTGCTCGCCCACGAAGAGGCCATTCTCGGTGCGGCACTGAAAGAGATGTTTATCCAGTTCCTCGCCGACTTCCTCGGTTTCCGCACCATAACTGCCTCTTCCTGAAGAAAATAAATGAAGTATCCCGAATAATTTTAGAAACGCTCAAAAGTTAGAACCTCTTTATTTTTCTCTTTTTTATAATTTACCTCCAAGCTCAAGCCAGAAATCGTCGTCCTCCTTTCCCTCAGCGACGAGAGGTGCATTTCTGGGCGCAAGGCGTCGCGATGCCTGTCGAGCGTCACCCGTGCTCTTGCTGCCGCACCAGACGATTGGTGTGCTGGAAAAGAGGATGAACACCGCGCTGGAATCTAAGCTATTCGCCCGCAACGGACGTTCCACCGCTTTTGAAGTGTATGGCGTTGAACCGAACACTCTGACCAGATATTTCTTTGGCGCTATAAATCAAAAAGCTTCATTGTAGAAAATGGAAGATGCAATCTACAGATTTTCTTTAAACCAATATATATTTTATATTCGTATGTAAATTTTGAAATTTATTTCATTTTATTTTTTTCAACAATTTTCTATCGATTTAAATATGACAAATGTCTTTTATATATCTTTTTGTATGTTATTATTTTTGTAAACTTTTATTTAAATAATAGTTTAAATTAAATAGGGAAACTTTACGCGAATCACGGTGACGTCCAGCAAGTATCTTCAGCTTGCCATCATAGATCTGCAATAGATGAGGTGGTTCTCTGCCTTGAGATGCCTTCACCAATTGTGCATTCGTCTCTTCGGATAAATGACAAGCTGCTGTCAACGCTGCGTCACGATCTACCTTGATAGAATGGACACCTTCCCAACAATAAATCTGAAAACAATTTCATAAAATATTTCATAATTGCCTTCAAAATTTTTTACGATTATTCAATTTTTTTCAGGTATTACTATCTTTCATATACATAAGACTGGATAAATCAAAAGAAACACTCTCCAGTTTCTCTTCTTATCTAATTTTTTACAGGATTATCATATAATTTAGAAGAAAAATTTTATAACATAAATTAATAATAGATACTTATAGACATTTTTAGGAAAAAATTTATGAACTTAAAAGACTCGCACGCGCGATATAATTGTCTACGTACAATACTTCGACACCTTCGTCCTTGTCCGTACTTGTATAGCATCACGTAGCAGGCTTCTGCATAATAAATCCCCCTGTCGTCCTCTACCTGGACCATGCCTTCCTGTTGCTCGACTCTCCACAAAGTCCGCTCGCCGGATCCGTCGTCCACCAGTTGACACTCAGCCGCCATTCTGGGTCTTTCATTCATGTAATCGGATTCGAAACTCATCGGTAAAGTTAGTGGTCTAGTCTTGGAAGGTTCCCAGTCTCTCAATAATGCTTTCATTTCCACCGGTTCGTGACCTTGTATTTCATTTCACTTATTTTATTTTTATTCAACTATTGCATGTAATTAATATAATTTTTGACAAATTTTTTACAATCAATTTCTTTTTAGCCTTTGTCTTAAAATGTTTATTTTCTTTTAATTAAAATATATATTGTCGTTGCATTTGTTTATTCTTAAGAAATTTGTAAATACTTGAGAAACTATTTTTTCAAACTGAAATGATAAATCTGTCTTGTATAGTACCTTCTATCGCCCTGGCCACTGGCATGCCGTCGCTGTAATTCTTCTTCTTGATGAAACCACGCGCGTTTCTAACAGCTTCCAATTTTTCCCTAGCGTTGACATCACGGCCCACCCAGGCCCACACCCCTGCCTCACCCCGATCCACCAAGTACACAGAATTGGAAGTTAGATCGCTACAAAGAATCGGCCCGGATTTCAATTCGGCGACCTTGTACTTGCCCGATTGTTCGCTGCACTTGTACAATTTAATGGAACTCGGCGGGTTGATGCGGTGCTGGCGATCAGGCGCTACTACCCTCATCGAGGGATCAAGCACGCTGCTGAAGAGCTGTTTATCGTCTTCGGACAACGTTTGTTCGTAGCCATCCTCGACCACCACTATACGGCCGTTATTATTCTCTTTTCGGGATTCTAGAAGACTAGCAGCGTGACGTTTATGCAATGGATCTGATAAGGATCCTAGCCACAAGAAGATGACACCTCTAAGAAAACCAGAAGTAATTTCTTGTATTATTTTACGTAATTGTAGATTTTTATGATTATTTAACGAATTGTCTTGTAAAATTTTTGATTATTTAAATTAATTTAAATATTTCATTATTTAAATTAAGTCCCAATTATAAAACGGATTAAGCTTTAATTAGCGTTAAAAGAAACAGATCTATTACTTCTTGAAAAATGTAGATATTCTTTGTATGCAAAAATTTTTACAAAGATGTCTACATACTTTTTATCCCAAGTATTCTGTAAATAAATTAAACTTCTAATAACATACTTTGCACGAATATCCACAAGGATGACATCGCGACAACTAAAATACTCCCAGCTGACTCTCGTCAGTTCTGTTAAAATCGGCACGGCCACCCCGGAGACTCGATGAAGAGTGCAAACGGGTGGATCGTCAAAATGCAGATTTTCGATGATCAATCGTTGCCGAAAGTAAGCGAGGAATCGGGAGCTCTCGCGACCTTGCGCTTCCCGCATCAGGATCATCGCCGAGATCTGCGAATCGAGCTCGGCGGCGCGAAGTGCTGCAGCACCGGACACTGTCGAGTCGCAGTTGACGCCAATCCAGAAGTGGATGGCACGCACCACCGAAGTATCCTTCAGGTCCTTGATCTATCAATCGTATCCCAAAAATAGAAATCTCAAAAATCTTATATTGAGTATATTGTTTCGACAAAATTGTTTTCTGAATGTTAATTTGTTATTAGGAATAAATATTATTAATTACATCAAATAAAAAATCATATGTATGTATGTGTGTGTATATGTAGGAAGATAGAAAGAAATTTAAATAAATTATATATAAAATTTCCAAAATTAAATAAAATATTTCAAAATTTTTAATGTTGAAATTTTCAAATAGTTATTTGAATTATTATTTTTATAATTAAATTATTAAGCACTAATTTTTCTTTTACAACAGGTTTAATCAGAGCAATCTAGAAGAGTTAAATTTAGCGAAAAAGATTGCTTCATGTAGAAGAGTCGGAAACAAGGATTACATGTATATGAGGAAATGTTCGCAATTGCGGTTTCTTTTATGACGATGCAACACAATGTAAAGTAAAAGTACCGGCATGCTTGGGTAAGGAAGAGCACCGTCCTTCGCAGATACAGCATAGACGATGTATGCTGATTCGGAGAGGAAGAGCCCCATATTGTTGCTAGTTACGGCTGTTGCACGCAGACCCTGCTCGACAAATATGTAAGTGTGAAATATTAAAAAAAAATATTTGGAATGATTAAGAAGAGAAATTAATTATAACATAACAGTAATAAATAAAATTGTTATAACAAATTTAATAATTACTTTATCAAATCATTCAAATACAATTACTATTATAAATAAAATAATACATATTTAATATAATTATTATATTGTAGATAATTTAATTACCATAAAACTGACAAAATTATAATTGTAAAATGACAATTTTATTTATATATTTTGTATTATTTTTTAAAATTATTTTTAATTATTATTTTTTTTAATTATATTTTTTATATTTGATAGAAATATTATATTTATAGAAATTATTATACACATTGGAATTTTTTATTTTGTTGGAAAATAAGATTTATTGATAATAGCTCACTTCGATTTTCCAGACGCGAAAAGTGCTGCTGTTCTTCGGGATATTCCTGAAGATTTCGCCGCTGGAATCGTCACTGCGGTAGCTCCTATCATCCTGCAGGATGGTATTCAAATCTTCAGAATAAAGCACGCTTGTCATATTTATCACTAACAAGGTCCAATTTTTTCAAGAATTTCTCTCTTTTTAAAACTTTTCTAATTGACTTTTATTTCCCATATAAGAGAGGAGGATTTTACATCATAAAATAATGATAAATCAATTCAATTATTTTAGAAATCTTATGTCAAGAATAAAGTCAGAAACTGGAGTTAGACACTGGAGTACTCGAGCAAGTTCTTCAAACTGCTGTAGGAGAAATGCCGGAAAAATCGAAATACGAAGTGAGAATTTTTCAGGATCGAGCGTCGAATATGCACGCAATGAAATAATTAACAATAACTAATTCCGGCATGATAACATTGTTGGCATGTTTCGCGCGGGCGAGTTCACAGGCAAACGAGGCAAGAGTTTTGCAACACGAGAAACTGTGCTCGCGCGCTTCGCGAGCGGACTGAAAACTGAGTTACCAGAGCTCGCCTAAGAGATCTCTACCTCGCAGGTGCACATGAGTGCGTGTTTGACGCACTTATGCATGTGTATGTACAGGAAACTGTTTGATATCTTAAGTATAAGTATTTAATCTAATTTAATTCAAGTATATTTATATGATTCTTTTCAATATAATCTTTTAATATATTTAGATCTATCATCAATTTTAATTGTAATAATCTTTGTTATTTTAATTGTAATTTCTTTGTTATTTTAATTATTTATTTAGTTAATTAATAGTTTTTTATTTAAATAACTAAAATAATTACAACACAGCAAAATAATTCAAGTTTACTTTACAATATTTTTCATGTTTACAAAAATTTTTATCATATATAAAGAATTTATTTTCAAGTAATGAATTTATGTCATGAATTTAAAATGAATATGTAAAAGAAAGAAATTTCAAAATGTATAAGTATGTTGGACTTTTTAAATAATCTTGGATAAATTAAATGCAGAGAATCAATTTTAAATTAAACAAGGATGCATTTTTAAAATATATTTTTTACCGCGGGTTATAATTACTATTATTTATTCTAAATGATAGTAATTATGTAATTTGCGATTTCTAAATAATTCAGTCTAAATAAGGAACTTTATGCTTGCCATTGTCTCGAGTTGATTGACCTGTAACCACATCAGATCCCGGTAAGATGGGGCCCATTACATCGCGGCATTGTGCCGGTTTTATTTTCCGCCTTGTGTGTGTGTGTGTGTGTGTGTGTGTGTGTGTGTGTGTATGCGCGTATCATTTATTCACACACACTTTTACGCACGCACGCACACGCGCTTAAGCATCATTCGCGACAATTACCGTCACTACGAGACAGGAAGTCGCAACTGCCGCCCGTATGCGCATTTTTGTGCGAGAATTGCGTCAAAAGGTGAAAATTCGCTGTCATTTGATCACAAATAGTTGCAAAGCATTTTTATAAGAAGGATTAATTTTTTCGAATAAATCATATAATGATTTAATAATATAATGAATGAAGAAAGAAATGGCATTATAACATAAAATTTTTGGATACTAAAATGCAATTTTTATTTGTTTTTAAAATGTCTGAATATACGTAGATATAAGTCAAAAATATTTCAAATATTGAATTTAAATTAATTAAATTTAATTCTCTTAAAAAAAAAGTAATCAAAATTTATATCGGAAATTTGCTCTATTTTATATTAGTAAATATATCTTATTATTTTTTATAATCACTCTACTGACCTTAGTTTAGTCCACATTTAATTAATTATCTTTAATATCTTTAATAATTTATTTATAATCTTGTTAATACTATCCACATATTTTTTTTATTTCTTTTTATAATTATTTCCAATATTTTTCACAGTTTTTTATTTTCTTTTCGCGTCTTCCCTAATGATATTTGATCGTAAATCTAGTTTCCTGCTTAAGTTAAGTGATTATGCAAGTACTAAACAGAGCAGAAATATATGGAAAGAGAGAAGAAAATATCTTTAATTAAAATATAAAAAGAAGAATAATAAAGAAGAATAAAACGAAAAAAAGAAACATTCTTTAATTAAATCTTGCAAAGAAAAAAAAAAGAATTAAAGGAATTAAATACTTTCCAAAAATATATAATATGTACAGCTGATCGAAATTCAACGGTAAGCGGGGAGGAGATTTATCCTTTTTCATCGAAAAATTGTCTAAGAACTTCACACTCACGTTTCTCTCTCATGAATCTTTCACGATCATCAAACTCCTTGAATGATCACTCACCCGCCTGGGGAAATCCATTGTTCTAGTTATCGCGGACATCAGCAATCGGGGTTCATTTAAACGCCGCCTCTATCTCGCGGGGGACACGCGCGAAGGAGCAAGGATACACCTCGTTCTTCGGGTATGATGCGTGTACGACGGCTAACTGTATATGCGAACAACTGATACTTCTTCCCGGCTAAAAAGGAGACCATACCGGTGCTGTCCGGAAATGGGCCCCGGAACTCCGGCCGGCGAGCCGTGACCAGCAACAGCAGCCGCGCGCTTCGGGGCCCACCGGGGCCCGCCGATCTCACCTGAGCACGCAACACGCACGCACACCTGTTCTCGAGCCTCCGCTGCCTTTCCAACATTACTTCGCCACGGATAGATAGAGCACAAGCGGTTATTATACGTCCTAGAACATGTAATGAGCCCCTCGCTTACGCGTTTCGTTCCGCTCGTTCTGTCGTGTGTTAAATGCATTTTTTCTTTTTTTTTGTAAAAACGCGAAAAATTAAAGAGATTCGAGATAAGAGAAAGAATAAGGAGGGAGAAAGAATTATTGCGCAAATTAAAACTTTGCATATAGAATATAAAGTTGATTATAAATATGAATCTAGAGCAAAATCGGGATTAAAATGAAAATTAAATTATTAAAGAAATTAAGTAGATTGTGTATTTTATTAAAACTGTTTCTCAATTGAGATACAATATTTTCTTTATACATACATTTCTTATATTTAATTTATGTTTTAGCTAACGTACAATATTAATAGTAAAGCGTTAAATAAAGTAAGAATTTATCTTTTTTTGTAAAAAGAAAAAGAGTCCGATTATTAATTAAGTAATTAATTTCGATAATTAAAAGTTCCTTTTAAGGAGGTCGAATTTATGAAAGGCCTATTAATGCGATTCGATCCGATTTTTCAAAACAAAAAAATGTGCGCTCGCCGCACATTTTTTCACGATAGGAAACGGTGGAAGGATGAGGGCTTCGTCGACAAATGTCAGAGAAGTGTTTCCGTTTTATCATCCCTCGACGGTGCGAAGATCCTTCGATGGATTGGCAAAACGAGGACTCGGATCAGTCGAGTGGTATATCGAGATAGATAGATGCTTCTTACGAGAACCTCTTTTATAACGTACAACGTGTACTTTCTTTCGGGCAGTTGAGAATCTGAAATGGGATGAGAATGATCATCCCGTGACTAGGACGGAAGATGCTGCAGCCGCCGTTGTTTTGGATCGCAATGTTTGTTCTCAAGGAGTTCAGGTAAAATTATATTTAAAAATAAATTTCCGACTTATATAAATGTTTAAATAAAAAAACGAGATTATAAAACAATTGTGCATTTTTAATAAGTTTCTTTCTTTTTTAGGTTGAAATTGGACCTTACAAAAACATTAGAAACTTTACATCCGCTTTAAAAAATTTGGAGCTTGAGACGAATGACAGCGATCCTTCAGAACTTAGAACGAACGACGCGCAAACGGATTACTTTAACGATTCCGAGCAAGAAGAGAACATCCCGGTTTTCAAGACGAGGGAAATATCAACTTTCCAATTAGTAATCCAGGGAATGGAAATTTTAAATTTCCAGGTATAAATGCCTCCTTGACTTTATGACTAACTGATTCCTTGACAGAATGACCAATTGATGTTTTTCAAAAATTAATTCTTTCTTAACCGGAAAATTAAAAGAGAAGTAATTTTAAATAACTACCAAGAATATTCAATTTCACAGCATGCAGATTTATATGTATTTTATGTATATGCAATTTAATCATGTTATATAAAAGAATCATATGAGAAAGAATTTGTGTAGGGTACAAGGCATTCCCCCGCGGAGATTGCGCCTTATTGGAAGAAAGATTCTCGGATGTGGCTGTGGAAGTCAGTGAGGCTTGAGAGAAAAAAAAGAACTAAAGCGAAGGCTCCTGCAAGCACTTTGTATCGTGAAGATCTTTCGTAGTGTATTTTTTTATTTGATGATTTTTATTTAATTTTATTTTATGTACATATGAATTTTTAGATCCTATTTATTTTTTTTTGTATGGATATATTTAAATATTTTTATGTAAATGATTTTGATAACAAGCCAATTAATACAATGCAAAATACAAAAAAAGTATAGGTGCAAATATTAAAACTCAGTGTGTAATAATTTAAACTGCATTAAAATCCGAAAATTGTATATTCAAAGTTAGTTTAATATAAAGTAAAAAAAGAGTGAGATATAATAATTATTATTATCACTATTTAGATTTTATATTAAGATATCGATTTTATTATACACGATACACTGTACATATAGTAATAAGGTTTAATATTTCGATCTATTCTTTTCTATTAGACGCTTGTTATCTATGACGAAATTATATGCAAAAATTACTCTTCAAATAAAGTCCTTTCTTTTCGATTTTTTAATTTTATAATAAAAATAATAGCTATTATCATCATGTATTATCATAAAAATTATAGAAAATATGACATATAATTGAAATAACGCATGATGATCCTTCATAGATATTGAAATCGATTTCAGCCGCAAGTCTGAATGCTCTCTACTGTTGATTCTTCGTCAAGATTCTCACCAACCTCGAAGCGCGCAAAATCAATAATCTCAGTTTCCGTTTCTGCTAGCAATTGTTGTACAGGGATAGAAGGATCAAGTAGGAATTCCTGATAGATCATGCAGGACTCTTCGTCCACATTGTTGTGCGGTTCGTCCACTCGTGGATTCCCAATCTTCTGTGGGTCCATACCTATCAAAAGAAACAATTACAAAAGTATTTTTTTTCTTTTTTCCAATCTAACTTCTTTTATTTTTGAAATAAATAAAACTTACCAATGATATGCTGACAGAGTTGCATGCCTAGTATATCATCCTTATTCTTGCTCCTGACAGCGATAAGAGCACCGTACTTGCCAAAAGAAACAGGTATGGGATTCATGGGTGTTGGATGCGTGCAACCAAACAGCGTCACGTCTGGCGATTGCACACCAATGGCCAGAGCGCGTCTCAATTTGATGTTCTCGCCCACATCGCCAATGATTAAAGCAGAATGATCACCCAGACTTTTACCATCTGCGGCTGATAAAACTTTGAGATTATCTGCATGTAAGGCAGTTCGCTGCACTTCATTTTGAATTTCCTGGGACTTTGCAAAATTCAGTACAGTGAGGGCTACTCTCTCTGCAAGACTGTGAAATTTCTTGTTTTGTGCCACAAAATCAGTTTCGCAGTTAATCTCTGCTAATGCAGCATATTGTCCATCGATGGTCAGTGTAATAAGACCTTGACCGGTATTGCGACCTTGTAGTTTGACTGCCTGTGTCCAACCATACTGTTGCGCCTGTTCCTTTAGCCATTTCTCAGCCTGGAGCAAGAGAGGACTAAGAGATTCCATCATTTAGTCAATTAGGATATAATGTGCATGCTTAAAAGAACCTAATATATTTTTTACCTTTTCTATATTATTCTCATGCAATTGCAGAGCTTTCTTGCAATTTTCCAAGGTGTAACCAGTCTTTTTACGCAGCTTTTGTAACAGAGATTTTTTTGTTGCCTGCCATAAGAAGCCGTTTGTGTGAATCAAGCGGAATATCTGTGCTGGAATCATCTAAAATACATTATTAACATTAATTGTAGGCAGTAAGTTAATCAAAAAAATAAAAATTGTCAATTATGAAGCATAAGGAAGAAAATCATGAAAACAATTTTAATTTAATCTTTAGTAAAATACTAAATTTAAATAAAATAAAAAATTTATTAATGTACTGTAAAAATTGCACAATTATTTAATTTCAGACCGCAGCGATAATCAGAATGCAGACGATTTACATCCATCTACATAACCTAAAAACTGCAAGATGTAAGATCGCTTTTCGTCACAAAGAAAAAAAAGAAACGAAAGCAAAATGATTTTCTCGTTAATTAGAACATTCATAAGATTCATTAATTATTTCACATCGATCAATCACGTTGCCTGGAAACTGCAATCGAGATCGAGGCTGCAGTTTGCGATTACCGCAGATTCTGGAGATTGACAAGCGAAGACACGTGTAGCCTTAGGCTAAACTCAAGTTGATTTGGAAATTAATTTTATGAGATGCAAATACGCCAATCATTCGCGAGAGATTACGATCATTTTCCAATTTTAAATATACATCGCAACCACCTAATGATGCAGATACTCACCCTGCATGGAGGTTAGAGCAGTGATTACTATAATATACTGAAGTGAGTCTTCCCTATACTATCCTATAGAAAGTCGGGGTCAGAAAAAGACAAGTATATTTTTGGTTGGCTCTCTGTCTCTTTTTTACACAATATCATCAAATGCATTAAAAACATTTCTTATCAGATATTTAAATAAAAATGACACAGCTTCCACGGAATATTTTATTTATATATTTAAATAATAGATTGGAAATAATTAATTGTTAATTTTTTCTGTACTTTATAAAGTACATAAGAAATCAATGTTTCTGACTGTATTAGTGTCAACCAATCAGCGAATTCCTGACAAAGATAACGATCCATCCAGCATGTGTCTATCTTTCTCTAGGAATTGGGTCATCTTTTCACTCTTGAAGACTCACTTCAATATGTTATAAACATAGGTTATAGAACTCGATTATAGTAACAATAGGTGGCATCCTTGTTGTCCTTTCATTAGGCGGGCCTTCATTTCTTTTTTGCTTTTTCTCTTTCTCTTTCGTGTAAATTTGTTTATTTCATCAAAGTATTATTATAATATTCTTAAAATTATAATTATCAATATTATAATAATAATAATATATTCAAATATACATGTATGTTTCAAAATAATAATATATTATTGTATATATTTTATATAAGACGTTATTTCTCTTATCAAAAAATAAAATTATATAAGATCAATATGATTAAATATACTTTAATAAATTATTATATGACACTTTATAAATATTGTATTTATATTTATATTTTTATCTATATTATATTGTATTTATATTACATTTTGATAAAGAAATATTCTTGTAATCCTTATGTATGTAAATTTCTTTTTTAAATATTTGTACAGACATATATAATATTTTATTAGTCATAAATAATTAATATAATTTATAATAAAATAATTTATTATAAATAAAATATTTTATTTTGTGAAAAAAATAAGTATATAAATAAAATTGCCCATATTTTCATAATTTTACAATTTTATCGTATATTTTCAGAGATGTTAAAAATCTATTGAATGTCGTTTCGTGACATTAATTGTTCTAATTACAATTGAATATGGAAAATTCTCACACGAAGGAAACGAAAATGCGGAAATGCCAATCCGAAGATACGATTCGAATACCAAAGATTCTCGACCCAGAAGTCGAACCACTATTTTCCTTGCCGTCCGATTTGATGAGTCCTAAAAGATGTAAGAGAAAAAGAGAAGAATTAATCAGAATAAAAGGAAAGATGCAAAAATTCCATGAAGGTTCTTACACCGCGAAACGTCTTCGTGAAGAGAAATTTCGCAGGTAAAAAATATTTTAAAAACTGACTGTGTATATGTTCTTATAAATTTGTATCTTTAAATAACTCTAAAAATGTTTATTTTTATAGAATAATTAAATTTTTATAATAATAATTTATATAATAATTTTATATAATTTGTATATAATATTAAAATAAATATCCAGAGATAACGATTAAAACGATTTATATTTAACAATACATAAAAATATCTATATTTTAATTATTAACTATTTTTAATAATTAACTTATAATTATTTTTATTACAAATTTCTCTCTCTAATAAATTTTTGAACATTTTATTTATTTATATTAATTAAAAGATATATACCAATTTAATAAAATTATATTTGGAATGTATTTGCGAAAGTTATTTAAATGTATATAAATGTATTAAATAATATGATTTTTTTCTGAAAAAAGATTTAAAATACTTTAAACAAATCTGTTTTATTAGATTTATGATAGGTTTGATAGTGAAACCAGAGTTGCCAGCAAAGGACATAGATTTGAGCGACGATAGGGATGTCAATAGATATTATTATTACATTTGCAACGGAGTTGATACGATTCATACGGCGAGCATCGAACAGATCTTCGTCGAAGCTATACTCGACCTGGTTCCCAGTAACTTGCGCAATCAATTCCCCGATTTTGCCAATAATTTAATGATCGAAATCAAAGAAGATTTTATAAAGAACATGAAAAGAGCCATCGTCGAATTTGCACTCACTGACCCTTTTGAAGAGGTTGGTCATTACAAAAATCGAAAATTATATTAAAAACAAAGAATTTGAAATTTTGATTTAAAAATTATTAAGATAACTAAGAATATATTTATAATATATTATTAATAATATATTTTGCGTAAAAAAAATGCTAAATATAATATAAAATATTAGGCTCTTTAAATGTAAATTTTTTTTTATTATATACATTTGTGATCAAATCTTTTTTATCTCAAAATCTAATGTAACTATTATATTAATTTAACGTTTCATTAATTTAACGATGTTTAAACCCTAAAAATTTAATTAATCTTTGCAATTAAAGTTACAGCTTGATGAAATTGGGGAGGATCAGCAATGTGTTCAGCCGGATTTTCGGAGACACATAGAACACTGTCGTGAAATTTTACGTCTGGATTTGTATTTAATAAATCCATGCATGCGAATGACTCTGGATTGTTGGGTTCGCGATTACAGGTATTGAATTATGTATGCAACTCGCTGTCGTTATCGCATCTGTATTTCAGCGAGAGGTATCAAATTTTTCAGCAAATTCCGACTGATCGATTTAGAATATATCGCTGCGCATAAAGAAAGCTGGGATTTAATGAATTTTCACACCTTAATTGCACATCAGATTGTTGCCAATAGACGGATTCTGCGGAAAGACTGGTACAGCGGAATTCAAGAGATATTTCTCGTGGTAAGATAACCAAATTAATAAGGCAAATAAAAAAGGTTATTCTGTACTAAAAGGAATAATTAACAATTTATTAGAAACAGAAATTAACAATTTATTTTCTTCGCGATTCTTATTTTTTATTTTTTTTATTATGTGGATGTAATTTAGACATTTATTCTTTTCATTTATTTAAGTAATTATTTATCTATTAATTTAATTCGATATTTGAAAGTGTTGGCAAAAATTAAAGAAAAATTAATAATTTATTTTAATTAGCTGTAACATTTTTTATATTTTTTTTTGTTTATCCATAAATTTTATCAAACAAATTATTACGATCAATAAATGCATTTAAAGGTGAGATATATCAAGGATGAGAAATAGATTTCCCTTTATCTAATTCTTTTATCTTAATCTCCTATTCTTTTACAGAACAATAGGAAGAAACTAGTACCTAGCCCGTTACGTCGCAAGCAATTTAAACGGTTCTTCGATTGCACCGGCAAGTTGATGGAGTCGCATCTTTTAAAAGCTTGCAAGCACTCTCTGCGGGATTTCATTAATTATGTTGTAGACGGCAAGGTGAATATACATATCTACTACGATCGATCGATGCGAAATCATTGCCTGATGAGGAAAGCGGCACGTTTGTGTTTCCTTCCTCCGTTTATCCTGTCGCGAGTTATTGGAATATACCGTTATTGGACACAATTTCCATCAATTTCTGCTTATCAATGCTTCCCAAGGTTCACTTGTCCGTTTTCTCTTTGAGCTTCATCGTGCGTGTAACGTCCAGATGTTAGAACAATTAAAAATTTCAAAATAATTAAGTTTTTATATTAATATAAGTTAATTATAAATCATTATTATTATATAAAGATTATTTTCTTTCTAGAAAATAAAAATGTTTTGATACCGCTTTGGGAAGATTGTATTTTGTTGGTTGTACTTTGATTATACTTTGTTGATTCTATCTGTTTATGGAGAATATTCAATTCAATATTTGTACATACACAGAAAAATTAAGAATTTCAGATTAAAAAAATTTTTTGAAATCTTATGGAACCTTTTTAGAATGTAAGAAGTATTTTTTCTGCAAAGTATTAATAAGTATTAAAAAGTATTAATATTACGTAAAAAAATATTTTTTTTTAATTTATAGATATTTTTATATATTTTTATTTTTAGTTTGATCTTATTCTTGCAGGTAAACAAATGTTATTTAAGAAACTAAATATTTCTTGAGAAATTTTAATTTTTATTCTATTTTTAATTTTTATTCCATTTTAATTTTAATTTTTATTTCAGATTTTATATAAAATCTTTAAGATGAATTCGTGAATGTATTCTGTTTTTATGTTTTCCACAGCCTGTAGCTTGCTGCTTTAAAGTAAGCATTGCTATCGTTTCCAATGAGCTCGTTTTCGAGCCATCCTTCGATAAATTTAAGGAATTGCTTTGCGACATTCTCAAAGCGATATGCAATGCCGTGAGGAATTTTGAAAGATTGGAGACGCAACTCTACCTCGACTGGGCGGGACCTCGAGAATTCCTCAAGGTTTTACATTATTAAATAAAGAGAACCGAGTGAAAAACTATTTCTCATTTTGAAACTTTTGATTGTAAAAGTTATATTAAAATATTATATATGTATTTTGAAATTTGAAAATAAAGAATAGTTCCTCTTACTCAGTTCTCGATATTATAAAAAATATATATCATAAAATTATTATAATTATTTAAAATTTACTTAAAATAACGATGCAACTTTTCATATATGATAGTTTGTGAATTTATAAAGTGTGATCATTGTTAAAACTTTTATTATAAACAGTTATGTGCTTTATACAGCCGCAGATATCGCAGTACATCGTTAAGCAGCTTGAGAGACAAATAAATCAGCTGATCGATCACGAAAAAATAATGCCTGAACAGAAGATGGCAGAATTGAAAAAGTGCTTATCAACTTTATTACCGGAAATAATTGTGATGAAGCGTTTAATAATGTCTGCATTTCTTACAGATACGCATATCTTTACAATAATGAAGAATTTGATCGGACGCAAGCTTTCTTACGAGATGAAACTAAGAAACTAAAAGAATATGAGATGAAAATTAAGAATTATCACGATCTTGCCGGAAGAATCCCTATCGAAGTTGAAAGAACAGTCTTCGCAGGATTCTTTGAAGTTTCTCGTGCTCCTTTCGTTAGGACTGTTGTGGAGAACGTTGAACATTATAAAGGACTTTTAATTAGTCATCTTGTCGATAAATATCAAAATACAACGAAGAAGTAAACATTTAAAATTAAATATTAAACATCCTAATATATTTTTTATTTTTTATATGTTTTGTTATATTTAATTTATTATTTATAATAGAAACATAATTAATTTGTAATTTATATTTGTAATAGTTATGATACAGATTTATGTATAGCCTAATTTCACAAATTATCTAAAGATTAATTAATACTATATCTTTTATAGCAATTATGTATTTTACTATCTTCCATCTTTTATCTTTCAAGATGAAATTGAAATAATTTAGATTGTATTTGTATCTAGTATCATAGCGGAATATGAAGCTATCTCCGAACGAGCTCTGACTCCACCTCCCAATACCGCGGCTTTGATGGAACTCATCAAGTTCATACGAATTACCAATGACGTCACTATAAAAAAACTGGAGCTGAAACTACTGAACGTGATCGAGCATATCATGTTTCTGTCGGATTACTGGCTACTCACGGAAAATGAAATAAGAAACAATAGTACAGCCTTCCAGTGGTATCATAAGATACCTCAGATTTTCGAGGATAATCGAATAATGGTCGAGAATAAGACCCAAGAGTATCAAGATGCATTGAAAGGTTGATACCCAAGGATTATTTTTTTGACACACATTTATTTTAATATCTAATACAATATTTTTTATATAATTAAAATTTTATTAGAAGTTTGTAAAATTTTATAAGGCTATTATGTCTGTACTATTATTTCATAATAAATATTTATTTTTTTACAGTGAGATATCAAAAGTTCGAAGAGGAGTTGGATTCATACACGAAACAAGTGGAAGAGGTCCAATATTGGGGCGACATCGATGAGGTACATCGGTATCAGCGTAAGACGCAACATCTGGAAAATCGACTGATCATGGCGATGGATAAGATCGACAAATTCAACGAGGAAGAGACTTCCTTTGGCTGGGAGATCACGCAGTATCCTCTGCGAAAACGAATCGCCGACCGTCTGCAACCATTTAAGAAGCTTTTCGATACAATCTGTGAGTTTCTGAACAAATACGATAAGTGGATAAACAGCACAATTGGCATCTACAATCCTGAAGATATCGATAACGACGTGGGACAGTATTACAGGTCAATATATTAGAAAAAGTTTTATATATATTGAATAATATAATAATATTACAAAAAGAGGAGGAAGTAAAAGAAATAATTTATATTATATAATAAAAATTATATAATTAATAATTTTATGTATATAACAAAGAGTAAAAAAAGATAAAATGCAACATAAGAAAAGATATTGCGACACAAAATGCTATTATTATGCTGTATGTCTCTTTGGATTTTTAATGATAAAATCAAACATGTTTTAGGACAATTTACAAATTAGAGAAGGCATTCCAAGAACCGGACGTGCGGGATTTGGCGGCCACGGTTCGCGAGAGGATCGAGAATTTCAAGGATCGAATGCCGGTGGTGATGACTCTTGGCAATCCGGGAATGAAGTCACGGCATTGGGAACAAATCTCGGCGATCGTGGGCATTCCCATCAAATTCGATCCTGATCTAACCCTTGGCAAGGTTTTAGCAATGGGACTGGATGGTTATATCGCGCAATTTGACAGCATCTCTGAAGCTGCCACGAAAGAAAATACTCTGGAAATGGGTATGGACAAAATGCATCGGGACTGGATCGATATGGCTTTTACGGTAAATCCTTACAAGGACACCGGCACCTATGTTATCGCCGGCGTCGACGAGATACAACTCCTACTCGATGATCATATCACGAAGGCCGTCACCATCAAGAACTCGCCATACATCAAGCCTTTCGAGATCAGAATAATGCAAGTTTGAGTTAAAAATTTCTTAAAAATTATGTTAAAAATGAAAATGCATTAATATACCTAAAAATTTTATTTCTTATATATTAATTTATACTATTTTATTTTGTTATAATTTGATTTTTTATTTATATATTGTAATATTTATTTATAATGTAATTTTTGAAATAGCATTAATTTATTTCTTGTTTTTAATTATTATAAATTATTATTTAATTATTTATTCTATATTCACATTCGTAAACGAAATATAGTATTACAATGTAAGCAATATATGAAAAAAAACAGAATTTATAATTTATAATAAAATTTAACATTTGATTGCAGTAAATGGGAGAAGACATTGCATCTGTTAGAAGACATTCTGAATCAATGGTTGAAAGTACAGGGTACGTGGATGTATCTGGAACCAATCTTCACTTCGCCGGACATTCAACAACAGATGCCAGAAGAAGGAAGAAAATTCGCACAGGTCGACAAGATATGGCGGGACATCATGAAGAACGTCTACAACGATTCTCATGCTCTCGTCGTCGTTGAAATCGACAAAATGCTGGAGCGATTGAAGAAATGTTTCGGATTATTGGAGCTTATTCAAAGAGGACTGAATGAATACTTAGAGAAAAAGAGACTATTTTTCCCTAGATTTTTCTTCCTTTCCAACGACGAGCTGCTGGAAATTCTTTCCGAGACAAAGGATCCTACGCGGTAATTTATTTATAAACAAATAATATAATAAATTATATGCATAATAATTTAAATTTTAATTTCAGTTTTAATAACTGTAGAAAAATAAAGATTTTTTCTCTTTAATTTTTTTAAACAGTGTAATTCTATTTTAAGTAAAATATGTTTATCTAATTTTGATATCTAATTTTTCAATAATTTCGATAATGTATATACATATATTATGTTATTCTTTAGAGTGCAGCCACATCTGAAAAAGTGTTTCGAGGGTATAGCCCGATTAAGGTTCAATGAGGACCTCGAGATATTGGCGATGCGATCCACGGAAGGCGAGGAGGTCAAGATTTTGATAATAATATCTACCTCCGCTGCCAGAGGACAGGTCGAGAAATGGCTGATCGAGCTAGAGACAGAGATGCGGAAAAGTGTCTGTCATATGGTGCACCAAGCAATTTTGGCATATCATACCAAGAAGAGGACGGCATGGGTCCTCGAATGGCCCGGTCAAACTGTCCTTTGTGTGGGTCAGACATATTGGACGCAACAAGTCGAGGAGGCTATGCTAGAAGGAGTGGACGGCTTGAAAAGGTACTTGGACCAGTGCCAGAAGGAACTGAACAATATCATTCTGCTGATCAGAGGCACTCTCTCCAAGCAGAATCGCATTACATTAGGTATTACGAAATGTTCTAAAAATTTGAGGAAAAAATATATTAAAGAATATTTTTTTAATGAAAATACAAGAAATAAGAATCTTTTAATATTATGGATACTAATGTTTTTTTAGAGGCTTTGGTTACTCTGGATGTTCACAGCAAAGACGTTCTCGCGGAATTATACAAGGAGCAAGTAGTCAAAAATACCGATTTCAGGTGGTTGTGTCAGCTTAGATACTACTGGATGGTGTGAACTTAATAATATTAAATAAATATTGAATCGCGTTTTTTTGTAAACTATATATTTTAATAATTTAATATTTAATTCTAGGAAGATAACATGTGGGCGTACATGATCAATTCGTACATACGTTATGGTTGCGAGTATCTCGGTAACACGTCTCGTTTGGTGATCACTCCCTTGACGGATCGATGCTATCGCACTCTCTTCGGCGCCCTGAGTCTTCATTTGGGCGGTGCGCCTGAGGGACCGGCTGGTACTGGTAAAACAGAAACCACGAAGGATCTAGCGAAAGCGGTAGCGAAGCAATGCGTGGTCTTTAATTGCTCCGAAGGCCTCGATTACATCGCACTGGGCAAGTTCTTTAAGGGTCTCGCCTCGTGTGGTGCCTGGTCTTGCTTCGACGAGTTCAATCGCATCGACCTGGAGGTCCTGTCTGTCGTAGCGCAGCAGATCCTGACGATCCAATGCGCCATCAACGCCGGCGCCGAGAAGATGATCTTCGAGGGTACCGAGATCTATCTCGACCCCACCTGCGCCATCTTCATCACCATGAATCCCGGCTATGCTGGCAGAACTGAGCTACCTGACAATCTCAAGGCTCTCTTTCGGCCCGTTGCAATGATGGTGCCTGATTATGCCCTTATCGCGGAAAATACTCTATATTCTTATGGTTTCTATAACGGCCGGCCCTTGGCCGTGAAGATCGTTACCGCTTATAAACTTTGTTCGGAGCAGCTCAGCAGTCAGCATCACTATGATTACGGTATGAGGGCCGTTAAGTCCGTGCTGATCGCCGCTGGCAATCTGAAACTTCGCTATCCTGCAGAGTCCGAGGATATCTTAATGCTACGAAGTATTCTGGATGTTAATTTACCGAAGTTTTTGATCCACGATTTGCCGCTATTCGAAGGTAAGAAATTTTTTAATTTAACGTGTATATTATACAGAGTGTCCGTCAATTTTCGACTTTAACGAAATAAAGAAGTAGATTGGCTCAAATTAAGAATGAATGACCTATTGTTTTGGGATTGTCGCATAATAATAATTAACGAAATATTAAATAAAGAAGATCTGCGTGAGTAGAAGCGCACGGCGACGAGAGTCGTCCCACTGTAATCCGATACTACGAGCGCGGCGAAGTGGTGGGCGGGTCGCTATATAAATATTTAACGAATTAATCGAACGAATGCATTCCGATTCATCTTTTTGTTCGATATATATAAGTATTTAATCAATTAATCGAACGATTGCATTCGGCTTGCCATTTTACTCGCCGCGTTACAGTGAATATCGCGCGAGAGAGGCAGGCAACATGCGCGGCGTCGTGCACGATTTCGACCGTCCGCGCGCAGACGAAAAACGGCCAATTTATATCTCGACTTCCGGACGCGATAGCAATTTCGTTCTTTTTACATAAAATTCTACACCATTTCGCGGCACTACCGTTTAAATCTCGTCCCGATCGCCCGAGGAGCGGCTGACTTACAGTGAATATCCGAAATCTGCTTGGACTCACACTCAAGTGTAATATTTATACATATATATATATATGATTGAACTATATATCTTTTTTTATAGACATTTACGATAAAAATATATTAAGATTCGTATTTAACAAATTAAATTGTTAATTTAATTTGCATAATGTATGAAGTTACTAAAAATTATTACTAAAAATTAGATCATATTACTTTAATATTATAAAGAATCTAAAATGCAGAATTTTTTATAGAAATATTGTAATTATATTTATTATGTTCTAATAAAATTCTAATATTTTATTTATAATAAGAAATATGAAATTTATTTTCAATATAATTAAAATAAATATTATTTAAAAAATTTTTTATTTTAGATTTAAAATATAAGATATACATGAATTTTATTTCTTTATATAAAATTAATATAAAATTAATATAAAATAAAATATATTTAATATAAAATTAATCCTTCTCTTGGTACCAGGAATAGCCTCGGATCTATTTCCGGGTGTCGTACTACCAACGCCAGATTACACGCACATAAACACATGCACGCGTGACGCTTGTGTCGCGGCAAATCTGCAATGCACGAATTACTTCCTCGAGAAGATCCATCAGATTTATGAGATGATGATCGTGCGCCATGGCTTCATGATCGTCGGATTGCCCTTCGCAGGCAAGACCTCGGCCTATCGGATGCTAGCTGACTGTCTCGGTCTTCTGGAGGACAGAGGATTGATGGACGAACATCGCGTGGAGATTACCGTTATCAATCCCAAGGCCATTACGATGGGACAGTTGTATGGACAGTTCGATCCCGCCTCGCACGAATGGAGTGACGGTGTCCTGGCAGTGTCCTACCGCGCCTTTGCCACTTCTGTTAATCTTAACAGAAAATGGCTAGTGTTCGATGGACCGGTAGATGCTCTCTGGATCGAGAACATGAATACCGTGCTGGACGACAATAAGAAACTCTGCTTGACTTCCGGAGAAATCATCCTGCTCGCTCCCACGACAAACCTGATTTTCGAGCCTATGGATCTGGAGGTTCTGTAATGATCATGATTTACCAATTAATTGTCTAATGAATTAATAATTATTCGTGTGTCAAAAATTTTAGTCCTCAAAATTATGAATTTTTTAATGCATTATTTTTTAATACATTTAATACATGTAATATATTATCTTTTCGTCAGGTTGCATCGCCTGCCACGGTTTCTCGATGCGGCATGATTTATATGGAACCAGTAAGTCTGGGCTGGACGCCACTTTTGATCTCGTGGCTCAACACATTACCGCCATCATTCACCGAGCACATTCAAAGTCATTTGAAGGATATGTATCTACGATTTTGCCCGCCTCTGTTACATCTGATTCGTCGTTGCGGTGCAAGAGTAAGTCATTAAAACTTTTTTTCGATATTTCAAGCATTCAGATTTAAATGCACTAGTCTTAAGAATTTTTATGCATAAAGAAAATATTGATTATGAAAAAATTAATAAAATTTGAGGAAATTAGATTTCTCGAAGGAATCTTGGTTCTGCCGAAAGAAGAAATTAAGAAATTTTTATAATCTTTCCGCTCGCAGGAAATGATAACGATGCCGGATGCTAATTTAACACGTTCCGTTATGTACATGTATGATTGTTTTCTCGACGATTTTTACAATGAGAAATACATGAACATGCTTTCGGACTTGGACATGAGAGCGCAAGTAGAGGTACGTCTAAAAAAAATGTAATTTATGTTAATTTTTATTTACTTATATAATCTTAGTTTTATCAATTTTAATATATAAGGCTTGTTTTAAAAAATTAATGGTATTTAATTAAATAATTATTAATTGTATTAAAGTAATAATTAACATTTCTTGTAATAATTAACATTCTTGAATTTATCATCTATTATTTATATCTCTATTCAAGTTATAACATTTTCAAAAATTATATATTCATTTTACACAATATATCTAAGAAAAAAAAATTGTTGACAGGGCGTCCTCTTCTTTTCGTGCATCTGGGCAATGGGAGTGACGTTAATGGTTGAATATCGCGACTGGTTCAGCATGCTCTTCAGGGCGTTAGTGGACCACGAATTCCCGGAGGAAGTGCGGCAACGCTTCGGCATCTCGCCGGAAATTGGCAATCCAAAGGAACCCTATGTAGTGCCTTTACCAACCACCGGCTCGGTCTTTGATTACAAATACATCAAGGAAGGTAGGGGTAGATGGAATCCTTGGTTGGAGGACTTGCAGGATGTTCCACCGATTCCTAGAGACATGCCAGTTAATCAAATTATCATTTCAACGGTGGAGACCGTCCGTTACTTTCATCTCTTCCATTATCTCGTTCGTCATCATAAGCCGGTCCTTTTGGTCGGACCAACTGGCACTGGAAAATCCGTCTATATCATGGAATTCCTATTAAAGAGAAACAATCCTGAAATCTTTAAGCCGCTTTTCGTGATATTTTCGGCACAGACGACAGCCAATCAAACGCAGGATATCATTATGAGCAAGCTGGACCGAAGGAGGAAAGGTTTGTGTCGATCTATTTAAAATTAATTTATTGGATATTATATTTTTTTAAGATATAGAAAAATTATTATTATTATAAATTATTTAAATGTAGTTTGGATTCCATTATTGGAATTATGTGTACTATATTTCAGTATAAATAGTAGACAAGATTAAATTATTATTGTAATTATTTTTTAGCTGGTATTGTAATATAAATCATTATCATCTAATTATTTTATAATAAGGTTTGTACGGTGCTCCTCCCGGGCAGCATTGGGTGGTTTTCGTAGACGACGTATCGATGCCGCAAAGGGAAGAATATGGGGCTCAGCCGCCTATCGAGCTCCTACGTCAATGGCTGGATCACTGGACCTGGTACGATCGGAAGGAAGTAGTGCCCATCAAACTCGTAGATGTTCAGCTGATGTGTGCGATGGGACCGCCTGCGAGCGGACGTGACGTCACGCCAAGATTTAAGCGACATTTTGTCACTTTGGCGATTCCCGAGTTCGATGACGATGTCTTGATTACCATTTTCGGCAGGATCACTTCATGGCATTTCACTACACGTGGTTTCCCGGAATTCTTTGAATTATCTGTGAATCACATAGTTGATGGCACTCTTGACATATACAAGGAGATCAGACAGACCCTTCTGCCGACTCCTGCCAAGTCGCATTATCTATTTAATCTACGTGATTTTTCGCGTGTTATTCAAGGTGTACTGCTCTCTGACCCCGATGTCATCACCGATGTGGTACGAGATAAAATATTAAAAGATAAAAATATTTTATATAGGACAAAAATACGTTTCTTTAATTCATTTTCTTTTATTTCAAGAAAAAAATATAAAATTATAAGATTATAATTCACATCCATCTTCAATGTTATATTTATCTCATTAAGAGAAAGAATTAATCATTCTTTTTTAAATATATTATAACTATTTTTACATTTTATTTATTTATATTTTACATAAATTATTAAAATAATTAAATTATATTCTACATTATATAATACATTCTTTTATTTATGGAATCAATTTTTTAAAAGATTTCTCTGAAGCGTTTGTGGGTACACGAGGTGTTACGAGTCTATGGAGATCGTTTGGTCGATGAGGCCGACAGTAAATGGCTGGTGGAACAAATTCGGAAGACTATGAAGGAATACATGGATGAAGATATGGATCGATTATTCGAAGATTTAGTAGATGAGCGTCGCGCACAGGTGACGGAAGTGCATCTGCGTAATCTCGTTTACTGTGACTTTCACGATCCGATTGCCGAACGGAAATTGTATATAGAAATCCAAGATTGGGATACTCTCGCCGAAGCAGTGGAAGAATATCTCGCCGAGTATAATGATATCTCGAAAACTCCCATGGACTTGGTGCTCTTCAGGTATGCTTTCAATCATTAAAAAATAATAAAAGAAATGGAATTGCAATAATAATCTGTAAAGTTAGATAATATTATAAAAAATATAAGAAATCCAAAGATTTAATTTCAGATTTTTCAAAATTTTTTGGAATTATTAATATGATTGAAAATATTATATCAATCGTTGGAAATAATTTAAAATATAAAATGTAATGAGAGTATGTGAGGGAGAACAGAAGAGATTATATATTAATCTGATTTTTTATAATATTGTAACAATTTTCTTAATGTCAAGAAAGATCGATTTTAATAAATGAAAGTGTAATATAAGTAATTTAATAAATAATTTGATTTTTAGGTTCGCGATAGAACATCTCTCAAAAATCTGTCGAGTGATGATGCAGTCGCGTAATCACGCACTTTTGATCGGTATGGGCGGCTCCGGTCGACAGTCTCTGACGAAGCTGGCAGCTCATATCTCCGACTACGAGTTCTTCCAAGTACAGATATCTCAGCAATACGGCATGTTGGAGTGGCACGAGGACCTGAAGAATATCTTGCGCAAAAGTGCCGCGAGCGATTTGCACACAGTCTTCCTCTTTATGGACACGCAGATCAAAGAGGAGGCTTTTCTAGAAGATATCAGCAATCTCCTTAATTCCGGGGAGGTGCCTAATCTCTTTACGGCCGATGAAAAGTCCGAAATTTGCGAGAAAATGCGCATCATCGATCGGCAAAGAGATAGGTATTCGCGAAATATAAAATACATATTTCATTGATCAAATAATTTAAATTTTTGATTAAATATAGCAAGAATATGTTATTAATGTCTCTTGGATGTTATAAATGCAATCTGCATATTCATTAAATTTATAAAAAACGATATTATTTGAGTAATTAATAATTAAGTCACTGCTCTCTCTCTCAGCGTAAAATAATAAAAAATATGAGAGAAGAATTTTTCATTATTATTAGCTGATTGTGGGTGAAATATTTTTAATACCAAACTTTCAAATAACTCTTTGGTGCTAAAAATGCGTGGTGAACATTTCTAGATCCCTACAAACAGACGGCAGTCCGGTAGCGCTCTTCAACTTCTTCGTGCAGACGGTGCGCGAAAACTTGCACGTGGTAGTGACGATGTCGCCGATCGGCGATAATTTTCGTACGCGGATCCGCAAGTTTCCCGCGCTGGTGAACTGTTGCACCATCGATTGGCTGCAACCATGGCCGAAGGACGCTTTATTGGCGGTTGCGACACAGTTCCTCAGCGAAATTGACATGCCAGAAGACGAGCGTCACGCTTGCATTGAGATGTGCCAATATTTCCACATGTCTACGCAAGACTTGACTAGGGACTACTTGAGATTACTAAATCGTCATAATTACGTCACGCCGACGTCCTATCTCGAACTCATCAACACGTTCAAAGATCTTTTAGGCCGGAAGAGGAAAGAAGTATTGGAGGGCAAGAGGCGATACGAGGCCGGTCTTGGAAGGCTGGATAACACGCGCAAAGAGGTCAGCAAAATGCAGCAGATCCTGGTAGCTCTGCAACCGAAGCTGCTAGTGGCTGCCAAGGACGTGGAAGGTATGTTTCTCGATGTGCAGCAACAAAACGAGGAGGCTAGCGCGATGGAGCAAGTTGTTCAAAAGGATGAGGAAGCTGCTATGGTGAGAGCAAATCTCAAATATGTATAAGTATAGTATATTTTACAATATTCAGTGCTTAATCCGATATTATAATTAATTTGTTTATTTGAATTATTTAATTATTTATTTATCTCATATTTTGAGAACATGACTATAATTACATAATTACATAATTTGCGTGCAATTTTGTATCAGATCGTTGCCGCGGAAGCCAAACAGATTCGTGCCGAATGCGACGCAGATTTGCAGGAGGTGATGCCAATTCTAGATGCGGCAAATGCAGCTTTAAATACTCTGACTCCACAAGACATCCAGATCGTTAAATCCATGAAGAGGCCACCGGCCGGTGTGCGATTAGTCATGGAAGCAGTTTGTATATTGAAGGTATATTAAATAATTATTAAATATATGTATTTTTTTCTAGAAAAATTAATAAATTAATTACTTTAAATTAATTACTTTAAAATATTATAAAATATATATATTATAAAATATTAATTACTTTAAAATATTGCTTTCGTCAATCTTTTGATGTTTAATTTTTGTATGAATATTATATATATATATAATAAAACATAACATATATATTTAAATAATAAAAATATAATTAAATATGCAGTAATAATATATAATAGTATATAAATATGTATATAAATATTAATATGTAATAACAAATATATATAATAAATATATAAATATATAATATATAATAATAAATATAAATATTGACAATTAAATATTACATATATATTGATATCTAAATATATAAACTTATCTGTCAAAATTTAATTTAATATTCATAAAATTTTTCTTTACATAAAATTCTATTTAAAATTGTAGGATGTGAAGCCAGAGAGAGTACAAGGTCCAGAAGGTCCAATCGATGATTACTGGAAACCGTCACTTCGTATTCTGGGTGATATACGGTTCCTAGAGTCCCTATTAAATTATGATAAGGACAATATCCCTGAGCGGATTATGACGAAGATTCGTACGACAATTTTGACGAATCCCAACTTCGATCCGGAACGAATCAGACAGGTATCGACCGCTTGCGAAGGTCTTTGTCGTTGGGTATTTGCTCTTTCGGAGTATGACGTAGTCGCCAAGGTAGTAGCGCCGAAGAGACAGGCTTTAGCTAAAGCTGAGGCCGACTATTCCGCGGCAATGGACCAGCTGAAGCTGAAGAGGAATCAGCTGCAGGAAGTACGAGATCGATTGGCTAGATTGGAGACTCTGCTGGCTCAACGAAAAGCAGAATATCAAGCAATGACCGATGAGGTGAAAGAGTGCGAAGAAAAGCTGAGAAGAGCCGAAGAGCTCATCGGAGGCCTCGGTGGCGAATACACCAGATGGTCCGAGACTGCCAAGTAATGAACGACTTTTTTGCATATATTTTAAAACGATTTAATTATCTATTTTTTTCTTTAAACATAGATAAGATATATTCTTTAAATTAATAATAAATATAGGGAATTTTTTAACTTATATATATATTTTTTAATGTTGAAGATTGAGATGTTTTTTAAACTAGTTAAGTTAAATTATTTAAAGTCTTGTGAAAAAAATTTTTAATAGTGTTTTAAAATTAATATTTTTATTCACATTTCTATCTTGAATAATAATAATTCTAAATAATTTAAAATTTTTCTACAGATTACTTGGAGAACGCTATCACAAACTAACGGGCGATATTCTGATCGGTTCCGGAGTAGTAGCCTATCTTGGCGTCTTCACGATGCAATATCGGCAGCGGCAGGTGGAGAATTGGGTGAAGTTCTGCACCGATCTGAAGGTTGTCTGCACACAAGACTTTCAACTCACGCAGGTGTTGGGCGATCCAGTGCTAATTCGCGCCTGGAATATATTTGGTCTACCGAACGATCTATTTTCTATCGATAACGCCATAATCATCACGAATTCGCGTCGCTGGCCGCTGATGATCGATCCGCAGGGTCAGGCAAACAAGTGGGTGAAGAATATGGAGAAGGCATCAAATTTGCATGTCGTAAAACTTACACAGCCAGATTACATGAGAATCCTGGAGAATGCTGTACAATTCGGACATCCTGTGTTATTGGAGAACATAGACGAAGAATTGGATCCGGTTCTGGAACCATTGCTTATGAAGCAGACCTTTAAGTCCGGCGGCGCGATATGCATCAAGATCGGCGACAGCATCATTGAATATTCCGATAAATTTCGGTAAGTTTATCAAACCATTTAACTTCTTTCTGTTTGCTTGAAATTACACTAGATATAAATTTGTAACTTATGTCAATTTTATTTATTTTTAATAATGTTTAATTATTTATTAAAATTATAAAAAGAGAGAGATGTTAGAAACTAAAAATACATTTATATTCTCTGTGTATTTTTTATATTTTTTATAATTTATTCTGTATTTTGTTTTCATAATTTATTTTTCATTCTTTATTTATTAATTTTTGAATTAATTTCTTAGAAATTTTGCATACATGAAATTTATTTAAAAATCTGCATAGGTTTTACATTACCACAAAATTACGGAATCCGCATTATTTACCGGAAATAGTAGTGAAGGTAACTCTGCTGAACTTTATGATCACTCCAGTCGGCTTGGACGATCAGCTTTTAGGCATAGTTGTTGCGAAAGAAAGACCCGAATTGGAATCCGAGAAGAATCAGCTGATAGTTCAAGGAGCGGCTAATAAAAAGTATATAGCAATTATATAATAATATAAACTATTAAAAATAAATGAAATATTCTTTTATACTTATTCTTTTATATAAAATAATAAATTTTGCAGTCGCAAAATTATTTTAGTAAACACGATTATTAAATATATTTATTATGTAAAAAATGTTTAGATTGAGAACAACAATTTAATTATAAATAATTACTTTAAGTTTCATCACATAATCATTAATTAATGAGATTAAGTAATATATATATATATATATATATATATATATATATATTGTATATATTACTTAAATATATATATATATATTTTAAAGTTAAATATTAATTTTATAGAATTTTATTATTTTGTAATTTAGAACGAATATTACTTTGATTGATATTTTACAATGCCTTTTCGCAGAATGTTAAAGGAGATAGAGAATAAGATTTTGGAAGTACTATCCGCAGCCAAGGAGAATATCCTCGAGGATGAAACGGCAATTGGTGTGTTGAGTTCGTCGAAGAATTTAGCCGATGAGATTCAAGCTAAACAAACTGCTGCCGAGATAACCGAGCAGTCCATTGATGCAGCGAGATTACAATACACGCCGATTGCAGTCTATAGCACTGTTCTCTTCTTCACAATTGGTGAGCGAAAATACAATCCAAAATAACTACCGAATTTATAAAAAGATTACATGCTTGTTTTAATTCAATCACATCTTATGATTCTGAATGAGGGGAGCATGAGAATTATATAGTATTTAAGTAAAAATTGCATCAATCTAATTAGCGAGGCTTTTAACTATTTAAATAAATTTTTTCTTTTAAAATAATTAATTTTTAAATTTTTTATTTAGATTAAATTTTCTTATTTCGAAATTTCGTAAAAATTTTGCAAGATATTTATTTTTAATATCTATTTTTGTAAAATTTTTCGCAGTTGTGTTGGCGAATATCGACCCGATGTATCAGTACTCCCTCGCTTGGTTTGTCAATCTCTTCAAGAACACGATCGAGAACACACCACCAGTGGAGAACATAAAACAACGTCTGAAGGACCTTACCAAATGCTTTACCTATTCCTTGTATGTCAACATATGCCGCTCGCTGTTCGAGAAAGACAAGCTGCTTTTCTCGCTCTTGCTATCCGTGAATTTGCTGAACAAGCAGGGCCAACTCTCGATGGCTCAATGGATGTTCCTGCTGACTGGCGGCATCGGCCTCGAGAATCCCTTTGCTAATCCTACCGAATGGTTACCTGCAAGGTCCTGGGATGAATTATGTCGATTGGATGATGTGCCAGGATTCGCGGTAAACTTTTTCGAATGATATAAAACAATACTACAACATTAAAGCAAGGAAATGCGTTTTATTAGATATCTAATAAAAAATTAAAATAAAATTTTGTAATTTTTCTAATTTTGTAATTTTTCTAATTTTTGTAATTTTAATTGAAAATTAATGTTCTTATTAATTATTTATTATCAATTATTAATTATTTATTATCAATTATTTATTAGAATTTTTTTAGAAACATAATCGAGAGAATTTATTAAAATGCGCGAAAAATTTTTTTTAATTATTGAAATCTGATTGTTATTTCTTTCATATTTTATCGTTTAGGGAATAAAAGATTCATATACAAGATATATCAACGAGTGGAAAAAGGTGTTTGATCACAAGGAGCCTCATATGTTATCTTTTCCTGCTCCTTGGAATAAACTGACTAATTTTGAAAAAATGTTGGTGCTTCGTTGCATTCGACCTGACAAAGTTGTACCGGCGGCGCAATTATTTGTTGAAGGTAAAGTAGCTTAAGAGAGACAAGAAAATAATTATTTAAATAAGTTTATCTGGATAACAAAAAATTAGAAAAATTTAAAACACTTTGTATATCTCTTGAGCAAGAGGCGAAATTCAATTTTATATCGCTATCCTTATTTTCCCTTCTTTTAATATTTGAAAGAAACCCAATAATCAATATAATCTGAGGTTTTGCAAAAAATATTTAAATTCAATTATAAATTCATTCTTTATTAATATGTTTGAATTCTTCTGATAGAGCAATTAGGACATGAGTACATCGTGCCGCCGTCTTTCGACCTGGCGGCCTCCTTCGCTGATTCGCACTCTTGCATCCCGTTAATATTCGTCCTGACACCCGGCGCGGATCCCATGGCGATTCTGTTAAAGTTCGCTGACGATCAGGGATTCGGTGCCAGCAGACTGTTCTCATTGTCGCTAGGTCAAGGACAGGAGATCATCGCCGAGGGTCTCATTGATGAAGGCGTGAAAAACGGCACTTGGGTAGTGCTGCAAAACTGCCACGTTACTAAGACCTTTATGCCCATCTTGGAAAAAGTAATTTTCTAATCATAAATCTAATTCATTATAAATTGAAAAAGATTTAATAGGAAATATAAAATTTTAATTTAAGACTGGTAAAAGATCAATTCGACCTCAAATTTATATTTATATGTGTAGAAAAGATTTTTTAGATTTTAATTTTAATTTTTATAAAAAAATGTATACTAAATAAAAATTTTAGGAGAAATTATTAAAGTATCTTTATTGAATTAAAAAAATGAAATTTACGCAGTAAATATTCTTATATTTTTACTATTTTAATATTCAGATATGTGAAAGCTTCACGAAGGAAACTGTGCATCCTGACTTCCGGCTGTGGTTGACGAGTTACCCAGTTGGACATTTTCCGATTAGTGTCCTTCAGAACGGCGTGAAAATGACGAACGAGCCTCCCAAAGGATTACGCGCGAATATTTTGCGATCTTTTCATCAGGTAAATACAATTTTCTTCATCTTGTCCCTGAAGGAGATGAGATAAACACTGAGAGAGATTCGATTGAATGTTGCGGTATAGGACCCGATTTGCGATCCCGAGTTTTTCGATAAGTCAAAGCAACGGGAGATCTTCAAACGATTGCTTTTCTCGCTTTGCTTCTTTCACGCCATCGTGCAGGAACGACGAAAATTCGGACCGATCGGTTGGAACAATCAGTACGAATTTAACGAGACAGATTTGCGTATTAGCGTTTTGCAGCTCAAGATCCTTCTCAACCAATACGATGATGTTCAATTCACCGCGTTGAAGTACTTAACAGGTATTTAAACAATATTTCTTTCTTTGTTTTTTTTTATTTTGTATCTAAACTATTGTATTATTTATATTCTTCGCTAGATTACATTAAATTATACTGTATTTAATAAAAAATAGTAGTCAGCCATTTTAATTATATTTAGAATTGAACTAAAATTAATTATCTTTCCCAAGGTGAATGCAATTATGGTGGCCGTGTGACCGACGAATGGGACCGACGGACCTTGAACACGATCCTATCGCGATTCTACTGTGAGGACGTGATCGTGGTCGACCGGAAATATCTGTTCGATCCCAGCGGCCTTTATTACGTACCGACAGTCAGCGAGTATAGTCAATTCCTGGACTACGTGAGGGAATTGCCAATGACTACCACGCCCAGTGTCTTTGGCATGCACGAGAATGCCGACATCATCAAGGATCAACAGGAGACCTACTTGATGATGACATCCATTCTGACCACTCAGGTACGAGCATATATTAAGATTCTTGTATTAATTCACTAAAAAAAATATGTATATATATATATATTTTAATTTTTTCCATAAAAACATTTTAATATTTCCTATTTTCAATTGAATTCAATTCAATATGAATCGAAAAATTTAATTAGCTTTAAAAAATTTAATTTTTTTAAAATTCTTATTTTTATGTATAATTAATTTCTTAATGTGAATATGTACACGTTGGAATAGAGTGAAAATATTGTTTTCTTATTTCTACATCCTAATATAGAACAATACAGAATAAATAATATGTTTAAAAAAATATGTGTATTTCCGATAAATCAAATGAAAAATAAAAGTTTAATTAAATTAAAAATTAAATTATATACATTTAATTTAAAAAAATCAAAAATAAGAGTCACAATATTTATCAAATTATCAAACTTCTAATTGGGTTTATCCTTCAATTTAAGTTCACCAAAGTCTATTTATGATAATTATTAAGACTTTTTTAATAGAATTAAATTAGTTCGGTTCAGAAATCTCATCAAAAGTTTGCGAACCATTTTTATGTCAAGAAAATTCTCTGATTCTTTTCAGGACACCGGTCAGGCGAAAACAGATGCTGAGAAATCGCCGGACGAGATCGTTTACGATGTCGCGTCCGACATTCTGTCGAAGTTGCCGCAGGATTTCGATCTGGTGGCTGCTCTCGACAGGTATCCCACGTTATATGGACAAAGTATGAATACTGTGTTAGTTCAAGAAATGGGTAGATTCAATATACTCCTACAGACTATTAGGACCAGTCTTGTAAACATCCAGAAAGCGATCAAAGGTAAAAATTGATAATCTTTAAGTTTTTCGCAGATATTTTACAAATATTTTTCTTGTTTTTAGGCCTTATAATTATGAATCCTGATCTTGAAGAAGTTTACTCATCGATTATTATCGGCAGAATACCCAAGATGTGGATGACAAACTCTTATCCTTCTTTGAAACCGCTTGGCAGCTACGTGTATGATTTTCTGAGAAGACTGAACTTTCTACAGGTAAATTTGAAAGAAAATAATGTAGATTGTATGTGTTACAGACTTGTTATTGTGTATGTGTTACAGACTTTTTATTTCATTTATTGTTCTGTCGTAAACATTTATTTAAAATTATTTTTCTAATTCAGAGAGAGTTTTTAATAGAACGAAACAACAGTTTAAAGATTTTATTCATTTATTAAAATTTGTGATTAAAGATTTCTGCACATATATAACGATAATATGAGATAGTGATGTTTTTTATTAAATTATCTCAAAATTATTTAAACGATTATTTTCAATAATCGCAGATTTTAAATTAAGATTTTTTGACATTGCTTTTTTAGCTATTAAATATTATATTTCAACTATATTATAATTAAATTAATAAACAATTGTATGTTATTTCAGACTTGGTATGTGGAAGGTTCTCCAGTATCCTTCTGGATTTCTGGTTTTTACTTCACGCAAGCATTCCTGACTGGCGCCCGTCAAAATTATGCAAGAAAATATTCCATACCCATTGATTTATTGATTTATGATTTTTTTCCTTTGAAGAAGACCGTTTTTGAAAAACCACCAGACGATGGAGTGTATATTTACGGATTATTTCTCGATGGAGCTCGTTTTAATATGGCAACGATGAAGCTCGATGAATCTTTTCCCAAAATACTTTACGATACTGTGCCATATGTAAGCGAATCTTTACTCAAAATTTAATTTTTTATGATGATTTCCAAATAATTTACAGATAAAACGATGCAGTTTTTTACGAAAAATATTTTGGGAATCTTCGAATTATTTAACATACAAATAAATGTGTAAAAAAGATATGAAGTAGACAAAATATGTTAAAAATAGAAAATTTTGAGAATTAGATTTATTTTTGTATATGATACGAAAATAGAGTTTATTAAATTAATTTTTTTATTTAATATCTTAATTTTCTGAAATTAATTAATCAAAATTATTTTTTTATAATTAAAGAAATGAAAATTACAGATCAGATTTCATTAAAATTTGAAAATGAAGAATTGAAAATCCTATTTCTCACTTTTGTATTTATTACTATTCTTTTTTCTTATTCTTTTATTTTTCTGAACTTTTATTTTTAGCTCACTTTTTATATATTTTTATGCGTTTTAAAGATACAAATTGTTGTCACATTTCAATTACATTTTTATTAGTTATGGAAGTATCTTTCTTATAATACAGCAAATTTCGTGTATATTTACCTAAATTTTTAATCTAACAAAGCATCAAATTTCATTCTCGAAAACGACTTAATTTCGCATTTTCAGATCTGGTTAATGCCAGTAACGAAAGACCAGGTACAGGATGAGGATACATACACGTGTCCCGTTTATAAGACCAGCGAGCGGAAAGGTGTCCTATCAACTACCGGTCATTCTACTAATTTCGTCATTGCAATCTGGTTGCCAACATCGCATCCGCCGGAACATTGGATTCTGCGAGGTACCGCTATGCTGTGCCAATTGTCGGAATAATTTTAGGGTTGATCCTGCTCATTATTTGTAAGTCGAGAAAGTTATCGAAAGATTGGGAAATTTAATGAACTCTTTTGTCTGAAAAAATTTATTTCATAATTAATGTTTGCTTTGTAAATTTAAGACATAATAATTAATTTTCTTTTAACGTTGAATTTCTTATATTCATATGATTAAGAAAAATGTATAAATTTATTTTTTAATTTCTTTAAGCTTTCGATAATTATAAAACGTTATTCAAGTCATAATATAGATCCTGCATTAGTATTATACAGGTATAATATATACAGAACAGAAAGAAATACATTTTCTTTTTTTATAATTAATAATAATATTTTTTAATAAATAATAATAATTATCATAATACTCACACACAAAATAGAAATTTTAGATTAGTAAATTAATATTTTTATTTACTTATAGTACCTATATAAACATATATATATATAGTATCTATATAAACATATATATATATATATATATATATATTCTTCATAAAATGTATATATAAAGATTACAATTTTTCACTCAAAATATCATATATAAAAATTTTTATACAATAATTCATGTATAGTATCAATTCTAAAAATTCTTTCGGTAAATAATATCAATAGATAGAATGTATTTTAAAATATTTTAAAATATTTACGATAATATATATATAATTTTTTTATGATATTACAGCCCCGAGATTCAAAAAAATCGAATGCTTTTCCGTTAATTAAGCCCGTCAGGAATTCTCGTCAATCTCATTGATCTCCTTTTACCTTAGCGTCGTCGTCATGAACAGCATTTTCGCGGGTGCTTCTCTTCGCGTTACCCCCGCGCGCCGTGTTGCACAGTTGCCGGTATTTATTATGTGGGATGTGGCGCTTTCTCGCGAGGGGTGGTGTAGGGAGAAGGGGGTGAGATGGTGGCTTGGTTGGCGGCACCCTGTCTACCCGGACCGAGATCGCCGGAGGCTCGTTGCCTAGCGACCCCGTATTGATCTCACCCCGTATCTCGCCACTACCCCTGTCCCGCGCGAGCTCTCGCGGGGGAGGGGGATGAAAGTAGGGGTACTTTCCCCTTCGCCCTTTGCCACCCTACCTTCATCCTTCCTTGCTCTCCCACTCATCTCTCTCTCTCTCTCTCTCCCTCTTTCTGTTTCTCTCTCTCTTTTTCTCAATTATTATATACGTGAATCTTTCTCCATTTCGTTGTATAATTTTACATTTCGCATGTTTCTCGGTATCGCGCTTGTTCCGGGAATCTAGGGGAGATCTTCCTTAGCAAAAAAGCGAATGATTATCTCTCTCTGTCCATTCTCTCTACCTTCTTTTTGGCCCTTTCCTTTTTTGCTTTAACCTAGGGCATTTCTTTCTTCAGCTTCCAGAAACTTTTTTGACTAGAGTACTTTTACACATAAGTTCATAATTATGTAACTTGTTTATAATTTACAATTGACAGATATTGTTAATTTCTATCAGTTATTTTATCAATTAATCGTTTTAAATTTATTTATCTCGCGATTATGTCACAATTTTCTTTCCATTTATTCTTAATTGTCCTTCCTTTAATTCCTGTTTTTACTGTATTTTGTTTTTATCTCATTGTTTTATTTCTTTATTTTCTCTTATTTCATTCTGTCTTGTCTGTTTATCTTACTCCTATTCTTACATTTTTTCTTTTAACACAAAATACCATAGCATTCGAATTAAACAACGATTTGGTTCATGAAAACAATATGTGATTATACTACGTTGCAATTGGATAAAGTGCTTTCTATTCTCTTTCAATCCTCTTACTTCTTATCTTATGTAGGGAATTTCTTTCATTTTGTAATGTCTTGTAAATATGAAATTCATTTATGCGTAAATATGAACTATTTTTTTATAGTATAATAGTATTATATTTGTGCTGGATTTCATTATCTTTATCTATTTATAAACTATATAACTGTCGAATATATAATGTGGCAATTACACTCGTAAAATTTTGTTTTAAATTTCTTTTTGATGAGTATTTAATGATTTTAATTTTATCCAAGATATAAAATTAAATAATAAAAAAAACTTGCAAAATATTAGAAAAATATTACAAAATGAAAATTTAACAGATATTTATTAATTTTAGTGGAAAATGTTTCCTTTGAAAATATTAACATTTAATGCAGTTCTCGTGAAAAAAAGTTTTTGTAAATATATTTATCTAAAATCGTGACTCATATAATATTCATGTTAGATAAATATTTTTGTTGACTAAGTTTATATATATATATATATATATATATATATATATATATATATATATATGTTAGAATATTTTTTAAATATGCACATTATCTCGAAAAATAACATTTACAATTTCTCGTCTTTGCCCTCCTCTCGTTTAGAGAGTTAATAATCGCGTTAACATGCAATCAGCGTGATTGAGATCGGTTGCGGTGGCCTAAGAACACATCGCTTGAATGGAACTCAGGCTCCCGATACAAAGAGGGTCGCGGAGGGTGAAAACTCACGAAGGCGAATTCTCCCTCCCTGCATTTCGCGTGCACTGATCCTCCTCGCATCGTCCCTGCACTACCAAGCTCTCTTCCTATTGGCAAAGTGACCTTCATCCAAATTTCTTTGTTGCGCCTACGCTTCGGAGGGTCGATGGAGCGAGGAAATTCGCAACGACAAGACAGAGAAGGGGAGATGAAACTAGAAATGGCGGCCTCCTTACTTTTACCTTCGATGGGAGAAATAAAAGTTCAAGACGAATGGCAATTTTACTCGGATTATAGTTTCCGATATAAAATCGTTTGCCAATTTTTGACACAATAAGTAGTGATTATTTCTATCAAAACTTAATGAAATACTCGCAAATATGAAATTTTAATATATTTTGTGATATTTTTACTTATCCGTGATGTTTGTTAAAATTTATATAGAATGTTGTTAATTTTCTCGGACGATAAATGAAATAATAATTATTAATACTGAAATTTAATTGAAGTACAATTGTTTATTGTAAAAGATTTTTGCATTATTTTATATTGTGTATATTTAATGACATATTTTTATTGTTGACATTTTTAAAATTATATTCAACTCTAGTCGCCGCTAATTACGAGGTTGCAACAGGTGGTAAAATAATTTTCAATGTAGAAAATTTGTAAATACAACACTTTTCATGCGAAATCTTTAAAATATCTCATATTATAATCTTTAAAATATCTCATATTATAATTAATATTCTAATATTCAGATTATAATTAATATTCTTCGTAATATTATTCTACACTTTTGAAACAATTATGGAAAGTGATAAGAGTTGTATGATTTATGTTGATAGATGTGAGAAAAGTTTATTTCTGGTGCGCTTATATATCGTTTCTCTTAAATCATGAGAAAATAAGATGGAAGAATAAGGGATAATTATATTAATTATAACGATTAATCTTTCTGTTATTTAGCTACTACTTTAAGACTTTGTGGAGAAAAACTGCAGTGGAATATAGAAAGAGATGAATAGCTGCAACTTTTTATTAAGATAAATGAAATATCAATAAATAAAATTAATACGTGATATCTCTTAATTAAATTATGATAAATTTAGGAATATAACAAAGAATAATCATATTTTTATTCTGCTTTTAATTATATGGATTGTTTCATAAATTAATAATCCAGAAACTCTTTGATCATGTATATTTTTATCAATATTGTGATATAAAATATAAAATGGTACATAAAACATTAAATTAAATTACATCAAAATAATAAAATGTTAATAGAATTTTTATTAATTGTTGATAAATGCATTTATGTGCAGTTTTGCTTACTTCAAAAAAAGGATTCATAATTCTAAAATAGAATTGGAAAATATTTGATTAATGTAATATTTAAAAAATCAAATATTTACAGGAATTATATTAGGAAGTTAAGACACATGTAATAAATTAATTGGTTCACACATATACTTTATTTTTCACATTGCAGTTCTATATAATAATTTATAATGTAAATATTATATAACTTATCGTGCAATCTTTTTTAATATTATTCTATCTTTTATTGTAATATTTTATATTGTACATATTTATTTCTTTTAGATATTTATTAAATATCACATATTGTATATTATCTTTCGAAAATTATAATTTAAAATCGAAATCTGAACATTTTTTCTTTCGCTAATAAAACAATCGGTTCGCAAGGTTTCTAAATCTTACAATTTTTTATCTCTGAAATATTTTTCTTACTTATTAGATTGTAACATTCTTTGAAACTATTTTTAAAATCTCAGAATCTTTAGAATTGACAGAGCTGGAGGTTCAAATTAAAAAAAAAATTTATTTCTAGTAGAGAAAAAGGAGCTTGTCAAAGTTTAAACTCCTTGTCTTTGTTTTATATTTAGAACTTTGACAATTTCGACTTTTTGATTGTACAGATTTCGATTTTGATCTATAGATTATTAGATTACAAGATTCCGCCTAAAAAAAAAACACGCACACACACGTCGATGGAGATCACGAATCGAGAGAACGAGACGTCGGGATGAGATATCGATCCTGAATAATGGCGGACGCGTAACAACGACGACAACAATGATCATGGAAGTCGTCGATGGCGGCGGTGGTCCAGGAGGGATGCTGCGGGAAGGTTGCCAGGCAACGTGCGTCCACCCTTAAACCGCGCAGCATCCCCACCGCCACCGGGATCCCTTCGCCGCCCTTTCGTCTCGGTCGATACAACCAACAGCCACGTCCTCGTCCTCGTCCTACGCCCCGGGAATTCCCCGATTTTCATTTAGGAGCTTTTCAGCTTTAAACCCGACCTCGACTATCCCCATCCGTTCATCGGAGAGACGCTTGCTTTCCACCATTGGCCACTCCACCCACTCCTTTTCTCTTTCTATTTTGATGCTTGACGCGCTTGATGAAGAAAACATCAGGTATCTGGATTAAATTAACTCTTGATGCCCAATAAATTCATACTTTTTGGTTAATAGCGACCCAAAATATTATAAAAAATATATATATAGTAAAAGTTAAAAATTTATAACTAGAGAGATATATTATTATTTTAATTTCATGCTACTTT